TGTGCTGAGTTATTTTCCCCTTTGTACCCATATTTAGCATTTTTTAACCTGTTAAAGAAAATGATTAGTATGTCTAGTTGACTCCAAACCATCCCTGATTGAAAAAAAATCATGTAATTCTATGCCTAAAGTATGGAGTTGGAAAAGAACTTGGAAGTCATCCTGGTACTTTCCTGATATTTTGGATTACAGCTTCCATAGTCCTTGTTCATTGGCCATGCTTGCTGAGAATGGCCCAATGGCATGTGATGCTGCCATGTTGTGAAAACAAAGCAGCTCTTGTCTAGATGAAAAATTGTGTGAGTCTTCCTGTGTATAATTTTTTAAAATTTAATAAAACAGCTCTTGATCAGTCTAAAAAGTAGTCACAAACTTTCCCCCCAAAGTACTTCTTTCCCTCCCCCTTTGTCCTAGTTTTTAGGATGGAATAATTTAAAATCACATTTTTCTCACTGACATTATAATTGCAGTTTATTTTTAACAAAGAAAAGCCAAGTAATGGCCCATATTTTCCATTTTAGCACCGTGATCTTTTAAAGCATTAATCAAATTACTCAGGACAAAAAGTATATTAAAAAGAACAGGAATACACATTTAATTATCAATCTTTGTTTAACTATAGGTAGAATAAATCTACTTATGAAAATATTACTCTAAATCAAATTGCTACTTCTTATATTTCAAGTATGACTATGATAAATAGTGTGGTCTACATATACTGTATGTTACAGTACTGGCATAAAGCATGGGCTGGATCCAACTTACTCAGGTCACATTGATTTCTATTGGGTCTGCTTTAATCATGGCTAAATCTGGATCCAACACTGTATTTTAATAGAAGTAGCACTTTCCCTTCAGTAGTTCCGAAGGGAAAGCCAAAGAATGTATGATTCCAGCACCCTCTGCAGGCCAGATAAAGAACTGTAACTTCCCATTAGTTTTTGGAGGGCGTGAATTTTATGTATTGTTGGGATGAAGCCTTCCCCACCATGGTACCCTCCCGATATGTTGAACTATAACACCCAGCATCCACCTAATGGCATCCTGGGAATTGTAGTCCAACTTATCTGGAAGACATTAGAACAGGTCAGCGGAACTGCCCTCTGTGAGTTCTGCTAATATGCCCTATTCCAGAAGCTATAATTTCTGCTCATTTTGGGTTATTTTTAAAAGTGCATAAGCCCTGTTCCATGAAAAGACACTTCCGTGCACAGATGGGCAAAATAAGAAATTATCCCAAGTCTGCAGGAATAGCTGATATAATGCTGAGTATACTGTCTTCCTTCCTTATCATGTTGAAAGGTGTGAAAGGAAAATACTGGGTAATTTTCGTATACATTTAAAAACAAACAAATGCCAAAACTACAAAACAAAAACCTAATTGCCTGTACTTCTGAATATCACACTCTGAGGTTTCTTCCATGTTTTAAGAAAAGTTGCCTTTCTATCTTCTCTGCAGTAAACCTTGGGGGGAAAAAATACTACTGCCTTGAGAAACATTACTGCACAAGTGAACCCAGGAATATTTATCTACAGGCAAGACATTAGAAACAGTTGAAAATATTTCTAATTTGTTGCTATCACAGAAACCTCCCAAGGAAAACAATCTGTATGGTATTTTTCTAGCCCAACCAAATCTAAATTTGTTAGGCTGCCCACAAACAATATTACTGTTTAGCTTTTTATTTTAAAAAAGGATCTCATTCTGAACAAATGTAACTTGGTATAACTACAAGCATTGTCTAACAGTAACTGACAGACAAAATGCTGTAACCCCAAGGAATACCAGAGTTCAGGCTGATGAGCTGGTGTCCCAGCTTTTACAACCTCTGTGTTGTAGAGTGAAACTAAGGCCAAGAAGTTACATCAGAATAAATTAAAGTAATCCAGAATTTTGGCTTGAATACCCAGTTCCAAAAAGTTGGAAAATCATACTAAAATAATTCAGGTCTATAGCCTTTTGTTCAATTATTTTTATATATATTTGTTTCCATTAGCAAAACCCAAAACATGCAAGAATCTGACCACCTATAAATACCCACATATGTTGAAGTGACCTTACACTGTTGATACATAAGTAATCCTTACATGTTAACACTAACAGCCAATTTCAGCACCGTTATTTTCCACAACCCTTTTTCTTGTTGATTTCTAGGGGAGTAGCTGTATAAATCTAATGCTGTATAATCAATACAATTCACCATCCCTGCTAAGAACAGGTTCCACCTGTACCTCATTCATCCCAGGATAATTTTTGTCAAAAAAGAAATGCAGAAATTTGCCAGAGAGTTTTAAAAAGAAAAGACTTTCTTTTGCTAGCTATCAAAAAAGTGTTTGAGAAAACGATGTGGCCTCATGATCTTTACTTCCCCAAGTAGCTGGAGTCCTGAGAAAGTGCGGAAAAGGTAGAAGTACTGGGAACTGTAGAGCAGAACACCAAACCCCCAAGCATCTCACTGTGAAGTGGGGGGAACCACCACCTTTTGCAAACAAAGACCCCTCACAGCTTTGGTTTCCCCTGACATCTCTCCATTTGACAGCTGTCAGATGAACACAAACGTACAAAATAACCTCTTTGCAGGCTCTCTGTGTCAATGTCCAAGGTTAATATAGGCTATACTTTGATAGCAAGCATTTACCAGGATATTGCCCAGGCATGCTTTTTGTGTTATTTCGTGCTGCGCAATCTTTTTATATGTGACCAAAAAGATCTTGTAATTTCTGATTTTGACAGACAACATAGCCTATGACTGGTTGGTACATCATTCTGGCCATAGCAAGGCTCCTAACCCAAGGCCACAGGTTTGACCCTCCAGGTAATGGGGAAGAGTTGTCGCTTAACAGTACAGCGTATATGCTTTCCATGCCAAAAGCTGCAGGTCCGATTCCTGCCATCGCTAGGTAGCTCCAAGAAAGATGTTTCTCCATATACAGCCATCAAGACCTGCTGCCAGACAGGATAGGTCAGAGGTAGTGAAACTATTTCAGCACAAGTGATACATTCCATTTCAGAGAAATTCTTGGGGCTTGCATTCTGCTGATGGGCATGGCCAAAGGCTAAAGAATATAGGGCCAAAATACAATAATAACAATTTGAAGTTACCAGCATATTTTATTTATCTATTTATACGCTGCCCACTAGCTCCAAAGGATTCTCTAGGCAGCTTCCAGTAAAACCAATAAATACAAATGCTGAAGAACAATAATACAACAACAGTAAATCCAATTATAACAACATCAGAGCAATTTTAAACAATTAAACATAATTATATCAAGTAAGCAGGACAATGAAGTATCACCATAAGTAACAGATCTCATATCAGTTAAAATAGAGAAATGTCTTTGCCTGGTGCCAAAATGATACTGTTTGTACCAGGTAAACTTCTTGGGGGGGGGGGGCTAATCCATAATTGAGGGGCAGCCACTGAGAAGACCCTTCTATTATTCACCACTCCTTTCAGAAGGACCTCCTGCCCAGTATCTTAATGGATGGGTAGATATTTATTTATTTATTTATTTATTAAAACATTTTTATGCTGCCCCATTCGCCAAAGCCTCGGGGCGGCTTACAACAATAAATAGAACCACATAAATCAAAATATACATATAGAATAATAATGATAATTTAAAACACACAATATAAAATAAGCCGCCCTGGCCAGATAAAATTCAGTAGTATTAACATTTAAAATGTTGCTTAAATATATATGGGAACAAATGGTCCTTTAAGTGTCCAGGTCATTTTGTAATTTAAGCCATATTGTAGCTTTAAGCTTTTACAGTTAGTCAGTATACCTTAGAAGAGATAATGCAACTTTTTAGATTATGGTGGGAAAATGTGGTCAAGGGAAAGGGGCAGACCCATGGGAACTCTGGAGCATCTGACCAGGACTCCAGGCAGGCCAGATTTGACCTGGACAATACTGAGCTAGACAGACCAATAGTCTGTCTTCAGCTTCCAGATTATATTTATTTATATCCCACCTATTCCCAGGGACTGGGACTTTAGGCAGCTAATGCTTTTTCACTCGATTGTAGCTTAAGAAATTAGGACTGGATAATCTGGCTACAATGCTTTTGGCAGGTTCTGCTCAAACAGTCATGCCTGAGCAGAAAGGAGACTGACCCCACTCTATCTGAGAAAGCAGAGAAGGGTTCTGTGAAAGCACGGATGCCATCAAATGCATGCTTTCTAAGGATGTCTCTGCACATGTGGGACAGGTAGATCCCTCTTTCCTACGTGAGCAGTGCTAGAAAAGCACTTTCAAAGCATGGACCCCACTGGATCTACAGTTCCAACAGGTGCCGAAGCACCTGCACTCAAAAGTCCGTATCATACCAGAACCACACTTAGAAAAACCTCCTCCCATCACACATGGCTCAGCTGGTCGGCAGGGAACAGCTGAGTAAGGGGGCAGGGCTTCCGCTGGGAAAAAGCGCAGGACCCTCTTGCTAACTGCTCCTTCTCCTCCCTTTACCCCCAGGAAAAGTGGCTCCCGGTAAAGAAGTTGCCCTTCCAGTAACACCCTTAGAACACAATTCTGTGCATGCTTCGACAGAAACAGGAAAAGGCCTACAACACGCAGCATTCCGCAGCATAGCGGGCAGGGGTATGCTGAAAGTTGTATAGCTTTTTTCTGCTTAAACCTACATTCTGCCCTTACTTAAGAAGCAGAGGTTGGAACATCTAAAGCGGCTCAAATTAACTCGCAGAAAAGTCCTACAGCTAGGAGTTGCAGGACATATTCCTTGTAAATCTTGACTTGCAAGTCTCTGGCCTATCATTCCAAATGGATTACCTCAGGATTGAACCCCACCCCTCCGGTTGCTGCCACGCGATAACCTTTGTCTTGTACCGCGGAGGCTTTGAATCTGCCTCCTTCGAGATGAATGATCCGGCTTTCAGCCAATCGGCGGAATACACATCTATTCCTGAGCTCCTCCCTTCGCTATAGAGGTCTCGGCTGGATCGTACCATTTGAGATTGTCAGGGGGAAGAAAAAAATGGAGCGTAGTTCTCCTGTTTGCCTGAAGTTCATCTCCTTATTCTTGACGTGCCGTTTTTTAGACGAAAGAAGAACAAGCTAAGCTATCGCGCCCCAGTGCGGAGCTACTGGAATTGCGTTATTGCGGAACGGTACGTTCCGGAGCGCCGGGCGGAAGTGGTTCTTCTTCCTTTGGTGTTGAAGCGAGAGAAATAATGGCTGCCCCGGGTAAGAGAGGAGTGAGAGGCAATGGAGTGGTAGCTTGACGAAGGGGCCGGGCTTGCTCTCCTTCTGCAACCGTTTACTGTGGGGATGGAGGTGGGCAAAGGCCTCGATGAGGGCTGGAGGGAATGATCACAGCGACTAGCGCCTCATAGCTTTTATGGTGCTGCAGTCCAAACTTACCCCATGTTCCTCCAAACCTTTCGTGGTTCCCCGAGGCCTTGAAATAGGGGCGAATGGAAGTTGGCCACCACCACCCACTACATAACCCTTCCGTTGTATTCTGTGTCACGTAGAAATTCAGCAGGCGAAGCTTTGCCTAGCAAGGCGAAGGACGATAAGAAAAAGCTTCTCCTGCTGAGTTTGTATTTCTCATTCTGGTACTGCAGACAAAGGAGCCCTGCGGCGTGGGGACCAGTATCAGTTCTAGGCTTAAATACTTGGAAAACGATTTTTTAAATACTGTTCTCTAAATGTATGACTCTCATTTCTGTTTAAGATGATAGCTGTGAGCTGTATACGCAAGGTCACATGCTAAGAATGCTTACCCAGAAATACTTCTGTCTTCAGAAGGGCTCAATTTTAGATAATTGTTATGGGACAGTAACCTTAGTACAGATACATTTCTGATTTAACACCCTGAGGGAATTATTCTGTGTGTGCGCGCGTTCGCGTGCAAGCATGCATGTGTGTAAGGCTAGTTTGCTACTATTTCTACCACCTTTCTGTCATTCCTAATTTCAACTTCAAAATGGTAGGAGGAGGATAAAAAATGGGTATTGTGTGCAACCCTATGCATGCAAGCTGAGGAATGCTGGGAATAGTGGATCTTTTTCTGGCTAAACGTATAAAATTGCACCCTTAATTTTATTTAAATGTCTATTATAGGCAGTTGCTAACTCTGACTGTTGGATGCTCTGACTATTGGAGTATGAAATAGGCAGATGAGCAATACAGATAATTGTCAAGTTATCCAGAATGCAAAAGTGTAATATTATGAATGAGGCAGCCTCGTATGGCAAGAACAGTGAAGGCTGCTGCAGACGTTTGTGACAGAAGTTTTCAATGTCATTATTAGAAGATTATGTTAGACCATCCTTCACTGATTTTGGCACAGGTAACGGAATTCCATGCAGCTGAATGAGCAGGCTGGCAAAGGTGGGACAGTTTTTCTCTTCACCAATCTATTGGTTTCTTTGCTGGCCTCAAGGAAGACCTTCCACTCAGCTATGATTCTGCCCTTGGCCCATTTGTATAAAGCACATTTTTATTGGCAGGACACTCATATCCAGTATTTTCACACTGGCTAGTCTACTTGTAAAAATGCAAACTTTTCCTAGACTTCTAGGAAGCCAAAACTGTCATTACATGGGTACATGTGTTGCAAGTATTGTGTTAATGTTACAATGTTAAGGTTAATGTTGATACAATGAAATAGAAGTAAGCTAAAATCATATTGTGAGCATCGCATTACTATTAATTGAAGGGCAACTGGTCTGATAGTCAGTCTTTCTATTTGAGGGGTATAGTTGAGCCTAGCTGAACAGTGCAATCATCTGTTTAATTAAAGAAATTTATTCAGAAGTCTAAGAAGGCTCATGGAGACATTCACAGTTCATTTATTAAGATTTATTTCCTCTTTTTTCTTTTCAGGGTATCTCACACTTTTCACTTCAGCCTTAATATTTGTGACTAGCATACAGGCTCTGACTCCAAGCCATTATCTCACAAAACACGATGTTCAGAGGCTACGAGCTTCCTTGGAGCGTCCATTCACTGATTTGGAAGGAAGCTATTATTCCATTGTAGGACTGAACAAATTGGGAGGGCAAGTAACTGATGAAAAGGTGAGGATGTATGCTTGTCAGTTCAGAGTGTTATAAATTTGTAAGGCAGAGCTTTAAGTACTGCTAACTTGTTTTAAATTAGTATGGAATTTCCACTTGTCTTGGGTAGCTAATATTTTCTTGTTAGTAAGCAACCGTGTATTAAGTGTCCCAGTCCTTCTCACATAGTCTTTTTTATTTTTTATTTAAGTTTTATTAAAAATTTAAACTATTACTAAAAACATCAAACATCACATACATCGGATTTACTGGGTCAACCCCCTACTACATATTTTTTTAACATTCTATAGTCAAATTTAAATCAGTTTATAATAACTTGAAAACATCTCTAAATTTATGCCAAGTCCCGTTTCTCCAGCCAATTACAGAAAAAATCCCAAGTTTGATAGAAGTCAGTGTCTTTTTTCTCCTTTAATGATAAAGTCAATCTATCCATTTCTGTGCAGTCCAAAATCTTTCTTAAAATCAATTCATCGGTGGGTAGCTCCTCACTTTTCCAATACTGAGCAAATGCAATCCTCGCCACTGTGATTAAGTGTAACATCAAATACATTTCCTGTCTGTTAATGTCTTCCGGTATGATGCCTAACAAGAAAACTTCAGGTTTAAAAGCAAAGGGTTTTTGTAGTACTTCCTCCATCCATTTATGTATTTTAATCCAATACTTTTTCACATTATTACAAGTCCACCACATATGATAAAAAGTACCCACTTTATGTTTACATTTCCCTTCTCACATAGTCTTTTGTATTTGTAGAGCTGTTGAATCACAGTGCTAGGAGGGGTGTCCCCTTTTCTTTTAAAGTGAAGACTAGGAAAGGCAGCACAGGTCTGTGGGTATAGTTGTGATTTTTCACTTTAAGGAGATAACAAGAGAACTAAAAATGGTAGATACCACCTAAAACTGGCAGTTGTCCTAATGCTGCTTTAGGAATACAACATGGTGCTGTGGAAGTAGTTGATCTGGCTAGAAAGTGAGGACAGCAGTGCATATGTGGTGATTTGAATCCCAACATGCTTTCACTAGCAGATAGTATCTCCCTAACATGACAGAAAAGACCCAGAATTCCAAGTCAGAGCACTATCCATCTCAGTATTCTCTCTGCTCCTGCATGCACTCAGCCCCACCAAGAAATGCCATGCTTTAAAACTGGGAGCTTTTACCACAAAACATATGCTCTACCACTGACTCTGGTTCTTTCTCTGTGCACTCTTTCCACTTATCACTTGATCAAAATACTTTTTTCAGCTTAATCACAATATTGATTTTGCCATTTAAGTAGATAACTTCAGCATCATGTCGGGCAAAGATTTCACTGTACAGTGGTACCTCAACTCACAAACACCTCAGTTCATGACTAAATCAAGTCACGAACAAAAATTTCATAAAACGTTTGACTCAGGTTGTGAACTCCACATTGGGTGGCAACTGCGATTGCAGCCATCTCACCCCCCCCCCCCGAGTGGGAGATGGCCGCGATTGTGCTGGGGGCAGGGGGAAGATGGCCAAGATCGTGTCTGTCTTTCCTTCATGAGCACAACCGTGATCTCGGCCATCTCCCCCGCAGCATGATTGTGCCCGTCTCCACCCCCCAAGGGTGCCCGTGTTCGCACCTGTCTCTCCCCCCTTCCAGTGTGCCTGCATTGGTGCCTGTCTCCCCCCCCCCCCCGCGGGCCCCCAGTTCACCCCTTCCCCCCCCCCCCCCCAGTGTGCCAGGATGACAGGCACAATCGCAGTCGTGCTGCGGGGGACAACAGGGAGATGGCCGCGCTCATGCTCAGGGTGACAGGGGAGATGGCCATGATCTTTGTTGTTCTTTGTCACTTTGCTTCACATTTGTAAAAATGTGTAAAAAAAAATCTGTAAAAATAGTTACAGAACGGATTAACCGTATGTACATTTCACTTATGGGGAAATTTAACTTGGGTCATGACCAATTTGGGTCACAACCAGAGTCCTGGAATGGATTAAGTTCGTGAGCCAAGGTACCACTGTACTTTAATAGATCTTGTGTTTTGTTGTGATAGAGTTCCTCCAACAGATGGAGCCAAAATGTAACCTGCTGCCTATTCTACTTTCTGTAGAATTGTCATATCATAGTACTCCAAATCTAGGTAGCCTAATCTGAATGTTATGTAACTCTTTAAAAATTATTCACTCTCAACACATCTGTTTAAGATTTTTTTTTTTTTTTACTAGTTGCCATGTTCCTGTTCCTAGGAAATTTTATGAAAACCTGAAGAAGGAACAGGCTTGCACTAGAAAAGAGATGAACAGTCTCTTCTGGCACTCATTCATTCTTTTTTGGGGTTTTTTTTTTTTTTTTTGGAGACTCCATTTCTTCCAAGAATTTTTATCATGTTGCCTTCCTAAAAGCAATTGCAAAATTAACATTTTACTGAGAAAGCATGGTCTCACAGACTTTGTATGGAAGTTCCCATACCGAGGTCTCTGTTTTCATCCATAAATGAAAACCTCCATGCCTCTGATAACACTGGAACAAAATAACACCTATAAATAGTGATGTTGAGGAAATCCACAACATTTTCAAATGGGCTTGGATTTCTGTGAATCTGAGATTGATGTTGCACAACAGACTGGATTTTTAATTGATTTTGTGGACTTTTTTTACTTTTGAGGAAGTTGTATAATGGTTCATTTGTGCAAAAATGCACTTCCAAACAGGAATAAAATTCTTGTACTTTTCTAAAAAAAAAAAAAAAAAATTTAATCAGTTTGATCAGTGAGTCAGACAGGCAGAAATTAGGGTGACTGACATCTCTAGTTATAACTGATCTTCGTGACCTTTTCAGTGTTAAAAACTTGTGCTCATTGTTCATTTTGAATAGCCTCCCCACTTGCAAATAAATTGTAATATTAAATAACTCACATTGTGTTTGAATAATTTTTCACCCTTAAGGTTGTAGCCTATTCTCTGGTAGCCATTTTCTCAAGTGAAGCATTGAGTTTTCAATTTCCTAAATATGTAATATTTAATTTAATTTAGTTTAATTAAAACATTTAAATGCCATCCTTTGCAGCGGCCTCATATGAATGTAAAATATGTATACAGTCTTTTGTATTAGTATATGTCATTTGTGAATAATGGTGTTCTAAGAGGCACTTTTTGCAATGCAATCTTATACATGTCTACTCAGAGGCAAGCCCCACTGAATTAAGTTGGCGTAGTCTACATAAATGTGCATGGGATTGTAGTCTTAATGACAGACCTATGAGAATGCTTACACAGTTGTTATATTCCTCTGTTCACAATACATTTACCTCACTGGCATGTTATGGTTATTAATTTACATCCAACCTGATTTTTCACTATGATATAGTTCTGTTTCACTATAATATAGTTTTGTTTCACTATAATATAGTTCTGTTTCCAAAGCATACTTCTGTATCGTACATAATATTTACTTCCCACTGTACAATTTTGCAGCCCCCCTTCCCCATTCCAGATTGAAAAGGCAAACTGCTTTTTTATCTCTCTAAATCTGATCCATTTAGCTTCAATCTTATGCCCACAACACTGTTGACCTTGGTGGGATTTATATATAGACAAAGTGTGAATCTAATATATACTGTTGATGAAAATTCTTTGTATTTAATGTCATTATTATTATCAGTGTATGCTAACTACAGAATAATGAGCTCTATGTATGCTGTTGGCAAAAATTAAGTGCAAAGTGTGTTCTTGGACCTGGAGTGAGGGAACTTGCCACAAGCAGGTTGATTAGTCATTGAAACTTAAAGGTTTTTTTTACATATTGAACTGGAACTTCACAAGGGTGCTCATGAAGGTAGGTATAAGCATCTCCATGAGGGAAAGGCCTTTCTGCAATTATAGGCATGAGGTATAAATGAGTCTGAAACCCAAGTAAAGTTGCATAAACAGTTGTTTAAGGTAATGAGCTATCACTAAATGTTAGATGGAGCATTATAAATAATAGGATTTTGGATAGCTTGTTTTTCATCTAATATTGGTGGGAAATACATATTATATATTACTGCTTTATGTGACCTGACTTGAGGGGTGTGTCTGACTACAACCCATACATTCATTTGGGAGAGGACTTCCTGCGATTTTTCTTTTTTGGTTTTTCCCACCTCAGCTGTGGATCTATCCAACTCCTTCAGTGTTAACACTGACCTTTTGGTTACCTTTCTAACTAATGCCTCCTTGCCCAGTCTCTGCGTATTGCTGGATGGCCTCCTCTAGGCAGAGCTGCAACGGAGCCATAGTCTTTCCAGTTTTTAATAATCAATATAATGGTGCTTTGGGAGGATGCTCATAGTTTGCACTTGCTTGCTTTCTCTCTCTCTATATATGTGTGTGTGTGTGTGTATAAAAACGCTGATTACTGCTTCTGTCTGACTGTGTCCCAGATTAGTTTTGTTAGATCTTTTGTTTTTATGGTGTTTGCTTAAGTATGTTGTCCAGTAAACCCAGAGCCTTCAAGAAACAGATCTTTTTAATCTGATACCATGTGGCATTGGGATAGCACACATGGGGGATTTCATTCAGCCACCAATGGGTTGTACCAGGGCTTAGACATGTTACAGCAAAGGGACCGATGAAACCAAAAATTTCAGTTAACTTTTATTAATTTTTGCAATAAAATATTTTGTACCTTCAAAGTGTGGAATATTTTGTGTACATCATGTGGTAACAATAGCAGTTAACTATTACAAATCCAGGTTGCTACACAACAAATGCAGAAAAGCACAAAGAATAGTTCTGCAAGGCACTGTACTATAATTTCTAATGCTAAATTAAACATGTGTTAACAGTTTATAGACCACCTTCAAATGAACCTTGGGATGATCCATTTCTTTAATAATATTCTTTTCTTTTTTCTTTCTTTGGTACAGGCTGCCTGTAACTTTATCAAATCGAAGGTAGATCCCAACAGTGTTGATTCCCTCTTTTACGCTGCACAGGCCAGCCAGGCATTATCTGGATGTGAAGTGAGTTCAGTTCTTGTAGAGGAAATTGTAATCTTGTACAGATTGTTCTTCCAGCTATTATGATACATAGTTAATTGTCAATAAGGTATCTGTCCAATATTCAGAAGGTATCTGTCCAATATTCCAGCCTTATCCAAGCTGTGTGACAGGGCATGTTAAAAGGGTATTAGGGCTTCAGAATAGATATAAGCAGGATTTATGTTACATCCTAATAGCATTTATTAATATGTATCACTCTTCTATATTACTGTTTCTCCAAAGAGTACAAAGCAACTTGTGTTTAGTTCCAGTTGGCCTCCCATTCAGGCAGCTTTGCTTGCCCAGAGCTTTTTACCTTCAGCAACCAAAATATATAATATGCTTTCAGACCTTTATTTGGACCTTTCCGTGTAGTTACTCTCTTTTTTGAGCTACACTGTTACCTCCAAGTGAGCAAGGGTAATATTTTTCACATGCTTCTCCATATTTTCCTCTTTGAACCATGACTTTGGAACTTCAGATACTCTGATAGCCTTAGAACAGGCTTGGGCAAACACCTAGCAGGGAGTCAATAAGGACTGATGATTCTTACTGCCCATTGAATGCTGATTGACTCTTGCAGAGGAAATCAGAGAGGAAGGTGAAATGGAGCAGAAGGCATGGCTAAACAGAAACACATTTTGTTGCAATTGTTATTCCTCAACCCCATTTCAGTTCTGTTTCCACAGTGCATTGTGCAGATGTTCCTTTTGGAATTAGTACATCTAGTTGATTAATGCCTGTGCCTCACAAGACTTAGAGATTTATAGACCTGTGAAAAGTCTTTTTTCATATACGTTCCTCTCCCTCCATCCTGTTACTCTTAAGAGAACACTGTTACTGACTTGATCTCTTTGACAATGGAGGAGAGTTAGTTCCTTGTGTGTTATGAGAGGGAGTCCTTGTCAAATTGTAGTCACTGTACAATAATTGGATAATAACCATCACTCATGTAGAAGGTTTCACTCTCTGGTGTCTCTACTCAAAGGGATCAAGGCCCTAAAGAGTTACTACAGTCAGAGTGGACAGGACCGGGTTTGATAGATGTGTAGGACAGATTCTCACAAGCAAGGCAAAGTGTTTTAATGCTCGGCAATGCTCCTATCATGCCTTGTTTTGATAGTGCAAACTGGATCATGGTCTAATCTAGTATGTCAGCATTCTGTTTCTTCACATGATGGATAAGTCTGAAGCCCTTCCCAACCCTGTCAAATCCTAAATGTTTTAAAAATGAATATTTCAGGCCCAGGTTTATGAAAATGAAAAGCCTGAAATCTTTAATCTTTTAACATTTTCTTTCTCAGATTGCCATTTCAAATGAGACCAGAGAGCTGCTACTTGCAGCAGTCAGTGAAGATTCCTCAGTCACCCAGATCTACCATGCTGTTGGAGCGTTGAGTGGCTTTGGACTCCCTCTTGCTTCCCAAGAAGCACTGACTGCCCTCACATCTCGTCTTAGCAAGGAGGAGAATGTTTTGGCGTAAGTTTTTCAGAAAATAAAAATAACAGGGCAATTCTGCCTGTGTCTACTGAGAAGTTAGTCCCATTGTATTCAGTGGGACTTATACCTGGATAAGGGTGCATTGGATTGGATTCTAACTTGGCTGCCTGTGGAGCTTTCTGTAATTAGATTTGTATGTAGCAACTCTGTCATTTGTAAGTGTATCTCTGTGTTGAGAAAAATGATTTTTTTAGATTAGCTGATGCTCTGAGTTGCCTTTTTTCTGACTGGATTGCTTTTTTAGGACTTTGCATGAGAGTTTAAGTGCAAACATTGTTCTGACAGCACTGTAGTTTAATGCAAGAAATGCTTTCAAAGTTAGGGGATTGGTATGTGCATTACAGCCTTGTTGTCATGCTTGAGCACCATATGTTGGACATTTGCATTGCAGAGACTTTGACTCAGTTGACCAAACAAGGCACTCTCTAATGCTAAGGAGGTTGGAAGATGCTCTTCACTTCTAAAAATATCAAAGACATTTGATTCTCTACATGGCTCAGTTATATGTCATGAAATCTGTCTTCTACAATGGAGTTATACCATCCTGATTCAACAATCATTTAAAAAACAATACAAGAACATAGGAAATTTAGGCTTGGCTTTTATTGGCTGAAAAGAGGACTTATGCACTCTGCACAATTTTTATCCTTAGAATTTTGGATCTACCTACTATATGCCAATATTGCAAAAGTGCTCTCCATTGTTTTTTCCAGTTCTGTGATGCACTGCTTTATGATTAAGATACATTATGTAACTTAGCAAGATATTTTCTACCATCACTGTTGATATTTACATAGTCTGTTCCACACACAGAGTGCATAAGTGTTAGATGTACTGCAACAAACAGTACAATAAATTAAAACGATTGTAATTCTGCAACTACTGGCTTTCCTGGTTCCATATTCCTATATTAGTTTATAACTGGTAAATTCGGCTTAGTTTGTGACATGTAAATCTGGGTTAAGTGAGCATACTAGTATTGAAATTCGAACAGTTTTGGCTTAGCCTAGAAAATGTTGGCTTTCTTTTCACCCAGTGGTATGCCTCTTTAGTTGACATCCTATGTAATTCATCCCCTCTGCTAAAGGCACTTTACTTCCCTAAGTCAAGGGACAAGGATTGTTGTTAGTACCTTCTATTTTATATTCCTGTTCCTAACAAAGCCTGTTGAGACCTCTTCAGAGAAGTCTACTCTTAGATGATAAAAGCACGTGCTGCATACTCATTTCCTCCCTACTATGTTTTCTTTGGTTTCAGAACAGTTCAGGCTTTGCAGACAGCAGCATACTTATCCCAGCAGGCAGACTTAAGAGGCATTGTGGAGGAGATCGAGGTATTTTATTTATTTATTTTCATAGCCCATAATTTAGCTCAAACTGCTGTAATCATGGACCACTGCTATGCTTCTATGCTGATTCAATTGCAATTGCTGTTATGAAATTTTTGCTTGTTAGTGTTTTTTTAAACTTTTATTAACTATACATTGGGCAGTATAAAAATTAAATAAATAAAAACAATATACAACACCAACAGAATTATAAAACCATTTTTAAATAGACCAGATACCACCCAACTTCCTCTATCCTCATTTGCTTGGTGGAAGAAAGAATCAGTTTTCTGAAGACAGAGATAGCCAAGCACAGTGCCCCTCAGGAGAGAACTTTCCATAACATTAGGGGCCAGTACAGAAGGGGCGGGCAGTTCCTGCTAAATGACAACTGAGCACCCACAAATGATGACATTCACAGCAGAGTTTCACTAACTTATAAAATTATAGAATAGTAAAGTTGGATATAGGCAAGAAGGCCATCGGGTCCAACACCCTGCTCAGTGTAAGACTCCAGGTGAAACCATTCTTCTCAGATGGCTGTCCAGCTACATTTTGAATACCCCCGGTGTGTCAGAGACCACAACTTCTCCAGGTAAATGGTTCCATTGTCCTATTGGTCTAATAATCAGGAAGTTTTTCCTGATGTTCAGCCAGAACCTAGTGTCCTGTAACTTGAGTCCATTATAACTGTATCCTGCACTCTGGGATGACCAAGAAGAGATGCTGGCCTTCCTCTTTGTGACAACATTTCAGGTACTTGAAAAGTGCTATGATGTCTCCCCTCAACCTTTTCTCAAGGCTAAACTGCCCAGTTCTTTCACTATCTCCTCATAGGGCTTTGTGTACAGACCTCAGATTATCCTTCTTGCCTTCCCCTGAACCCTTTCCAACTAGAGACAGTACTCCAGATGAGCCCAAACCCAGTGGAACCCAGAACTAGAGACAGTACTCCAGATGAGCCCAAACCAGTACTGAGTAAAGGGAAAATAGTACTCTACATGATTTGGAAGTGATACTTCTATTAATGGAGCCCAAAATAATTTGTCCTTTTTTTGCAGCCAAATTACATTGTTGACTCATTCAGCTTGTGATGTACAATTCGAAGATCCATCTCACTTGCAGTATTGCTAAGTCAAGTATCCCCCATCTTGTAATAGATAACATTTGGTTTCTTTTTTCTAGGTGCAGAACTTGGCATTTGGCCCTATTGAGTTTCATTGTGTTGTTTTCTGCCCAGAGCTCCAACCTATCTAGATTACCTTGAATCTTCTTTTCTGTCTGTCAGGGTATTAGCTGTCCCACCCAGTTTTGTGTCATCTGAAAATATGTTAATCATTCTCTGCACTTCTTCATGCAAATCATTAATAAAAATGTTGAAAAGCACTGGGGCAGGATTAAACCCTGTGGTGCCCATTTGTTACCTCTCCCCAGTTTGAGAAGATGGCATTCATGATCACTCTTTGAGTCTGATTCTGTAGCCCTACCTTTGGATCCACCTGATAGTTGCTTGATCTACTTTTAGTTAATTTGCTGACCAGGATACCATGGTGTACTTTGTTGAAAGCTTTGCTGAAGCCAAGCTATTATGTCCTCAGCATTCCCACAGTTCACCAGGGGAGGGGGGGTTACCCAATCAGTCTGTCAGTCCCATTTTCATCCTACCTTTTCTACAGTATAAGAGGAAGGAGCACCTTTATTCTTCCAGCAACCTGTTTAGTGGGTCAGACGGAAGTCCCACAGTCAGGTCTAAGTCCACAACTAACCATTACATCATATTGGTCCTAGATTACCTTAGTGCTCAAGGAAATCCTTTAGTCAGTTATTGAACTTATCCCTATATTAGCTTTATCACCACTTGCCATCATGGAGACACATGCCATTCAATAATGGAAGCTAATTTAAGTGGCACAGTAATAGTTGCCGTACAATATACCAGTTTATACAGCACACCAGGCTCACCATGACATGCTGAACATCTGATTATGCAGCTCCCAAAGGCTTTGCAGCCATCAGTGTTAATCATCACATAAGCCCCAGTGGCCAGGTTCACATGACACAGGACTCCACAGCAGCCCTGCTGTGTCCTGTGAACCAACTCCATATGGTTGATACTTCATACCGAAATCATCAATCATGCTGTTTGTAACCAGCAAGACATCCCAAAAAATGTTGCTGCTCCCAAGGAAAACTTCAAAAACCATCTTTGAATATTAGTCCTCAAAATATTAATAAAAGCTTTCAGCCTGTCTTACTCTATTTCAATAATTTCTTGAAGTAAATTAAAGAATGCTGTCCTGTTGCTACAAAGCTATTCATTGCACTCCTGTAACAAACATCAGCTGAAGTTGTCTAGAAGATCACAAAGCAAAATTACTTTGTTAATAACCTTTTTACAGGATCTTGTTGCCCGGCTGGATGATATAGGTGGAGTGTATCTTCAATTTGAAGAAGGACTTGAAACAACTGCATTGTTTGTGGCTGCCACATACAGACTCTCTGATCATGTAGGAACAGAGCCAGCAATGAAAGAGGTATGTTTCTTTCTTTGATCTACATAATGTAATGGCTTTGGATAAGACAGGTATTAAGAAAAAGGAACATTCATTTTTATAATGGTTGATACCAGGAGTAAATAGCAAACCCAAAGCAAATGTTGGGCCATCACAAAGAGCAGGAGGATTCTATAACCAGTAATAACAGCTATTATTTACTATTTTAGTCAGACATCAGAACAGCCTGTTCTTGGTTATATAAAAGTGAACTGTCAGTGTCATACTGTTCCAGAAGAAAAGTCATGTCAGTCTGAAGTAGCAAAAATGTGTGAAGCAGAGTGGCTCCCCTGCACTTCTGATTCTGAAACTGAATGTGCATCTATAGCTCTTTTGATTCCCCCCGACAGACAGACACACACACATGTGGGGGGGGCATGGAGAGGGAGTTTATATGTGCAGTGACTTCTCTGCGTACAGATCTTTTTACAGTACCAGGCTAAAAATGTGAAATTCAGAGAAACCACAAAACAGTCCATTGGGTTTTTAATTCACATGCCTGGGGAGGTAAAGCATGTCTTGCCATACATTTGTCTGATAATGAGCACAACAATGTCAACATGGATGCTGTGCTCACAGACTTCGGTTCAGCAGAACAGTGTTCCTTGTCGTCCCACATATACACTGTGTGCCTGGATGGACACACGGGCCTCATGACTGCTGCAAAGCTGCCCCCTAGAGAGCTTTAGCTATGTGGTGGTATAGGTGAAATAAGTAATAAATAATAATCATAATGATAATGATAACTGGGGGCTGCCAACCCCCGAAATTGTTTCCAACTGCTTTTTCTATCCAATGCTAAATACTTCTTACCATGCGCTGACCTAAGTGGGAAGCAGAGAACTTAGGGCTCCCATTGAGGCCTGTTGGGATTCTTGGTACAGGAATACTATGCCTTAGTGCAATTAGATTGTGCCCTCTGTATGTGTGTATATGGCTTAATTCAGAACGTAGAAGTATCAGTTTTAGGCATGGAATGACTGTAACAATCCCTATTCCAGGTCTTCCCTCAACACACAGAAGGAAAGCTAGCAAATCTTACTTATCCAAATGAAATCCAATTTTTAAGAGCATCTTATAGTACCAATTGCCAAAATACCTACTAATTTAGGTTGTTAAAGTATCACATGTGATTAAGTAAGTAAGTGACAAGATATGAATTTAACAAATGGTAAAGGAAGGGATATAATGAGTTTCAGCAAGTTTAATTAAGCAAGGTCTTAAGTTTGGTGACCTCCTAATATGGAGATAGACTAAAGTTATTTATAAAGCTTTTATGTGTCATCCACTGGGGCATTTCTTTTTCTCCTGCAGTGTAATTCCTAGCTGCCAAACTGTTTATGTGAACTGATAATATAATTAATGTCTAACATCCCTAGTTAGTCATAGAAAGGCTCCAGATTATAAATGGATGAGTTCACTGCCCCCTTTCTAAAAGTGTTGCTGCAAAACAAATTGGATGTGGAAACACATTTTATGCCATTGCATATGACGTTATTCAGCTGAATCTGTGGTGGCATATTACAGACTGCTTTGCATCAAATGATGTAAAAGTCGAATTCCAAAATTAGTCTAATTAAAGATAATTGTCCATTGCAGATTAAAAATTATGCTGTCAGGAATTGTGTTGGGGAAATTACATCAAAATTTTATTTCACTTCAAATATTAAAATAAGAACTGGTGATTGGAGCTGTGTCTTTTTTATCTATGTAGTTCTATGAATGCACATGGCATTTCACAAAGAACAAAAGAGCCAGTGTGGTATACTGGTTAAAAGTATGGGACTGGGACTCAGGGGATCTGGGTCCTAGTCCCCACTGAACCATGGAGCCAACTGGGTGACTGTGCCAGTCCCACCTACCTTACAGGATTGTTGTTGTAGAGGTAAGATTGAGAGCATGAGGAGGAAAATGGTATAAGCTGCTTTGAGTTCTTAAAAAAAGAAAAAAAGGCAAGATATAAATTAATATATGGTTTGACTTCTGATAGTCTGCTTTGGGGATAATCAGGGAAAAATCTGAACTTGTAGGATACACATCTTTGGTAGTGTATGTGAAACAAATGTGGTTGTGATACAGTATATCTTTTAGGCCAAAGAATATGTAACCCATCTGAATCTTGTTTTACCCTTTGCCTTTTCATTTCAGGATCAGATCATCCAGCTAGTGAATGCGATTTTTAGCAAGAAAAACTTTGAGACTCTTTCTGAAGCGTTCAGTGTGGCTTGCGCTGCAGCTTCCCTTTCCCAGAATAATTATCATTTGCCAGTTGTTGCAGTGCCGGAGGGGCCTGCTGCTGTCTCTCACCATCAGCCCATATTCAGGGTGAGTTGCCACTCTGCGTCCTTTTTTTATACTTTGGTTCTTAATCCCCTGCAGTTGATTATTAAAGCAGCTATATAGAAATGATAGCACTAAAGCTTTAACTTACATCACGGATATAGCCTGCATCCCCAGGGACCACTGTATTTTCCAAGGAGTGTCTTACCATCATCAGGTGTTGTATCAGAGACAAATTCTCCTATTTTCATGTCCTTATGGCTGCTGGTAGCTTCTTAAAAATCTCCTGTGTTCTAATGGATGTTCCAAAGGGCAAATAAGCAAAACTCAAGCTGTAGATTTTCATGCATGTTTCCAAAAGTACCCATTTAGAAACACACATCTTTGAAATGTAAACATTCTTATGGATTTTCCATGCTCATTTTCTAAATGTGCACATGCTGTCAAATGCATTATTTGAGTCTGCAAGTTACAGTGGAAGCTTGGAAATGTGCAGGTTTTGACCACAGATGATGTCGCAGTCCATAGTTGATGCAAATTGGGCAACTCCTAGTTAAAAGAACTTACTGAAATAAATGTCTCCTACATCCCTATTCACAATATAGTGTCATAAGGTAGTTTGTTTTGTCAAGGTTGGAGACACTTTTGGGAGCTAAAGCAAAATGACTGGCATGTAAGAGAAGGGTTTGGTGCATAGCGAAGGTTAGGGCAAGAGGTCTGATCTGAGCAATGTCAAGGGATGAATTTTCCATGGAGACAGTGAAAGGGCATGAGTATATAGCATGCATATTTCTCTATTTGGAGTGCCTAAGCTGACTTAAAGGATTTCAGAAGTTTGTAATGTATCTTGTTTCTTAGAGAAATCAAGGATAGATGAGTAGAGAAGGAGAGGAGGCTCTTTTTGAAAAGTATAATGAGAAACTAGTTAGAAAGCTATAAGAAACTAAGTAGAAGTTGCTGGTCTCTGGCAGATGTGCATGAAGAACATGTTTAGGGTACAAAGGATTTCAAATGTGAAACATTTTCATTTGGCTTTGTCTCATCCAGAAATTGCTGTTTAGCTAGCAGTCTTTTGATGTTGTAGATGAAGAATCATGTAAGCTTATAAATCTTTCCCATTTTCCAGCTCCACGTGACCAATGTTATGTCACAGCCTCTGACTCAGGCAAGTGTGAATTTGGACCATGTGAAATCTGTTGCTACCAAAGCAACTATTCTTCAGCAGTCTGCCTTTGCCCTGTCTGGGTAAGTAAAAGTTTTTTCTTTGTTCCTGGTTCAGTGTCTTTAATTTGGGGGATACAAAGTACTGCATCTATTCTGAATCTAGAATTTGAGATTTCTTCATAAGAATTTGAGCAGGTTGGGGCAGATACAAAATATGCACAGCTTCAACCCAGCATATAGAGCCAGTGTGGTGTTGGTGGGTAAGAGCACAGGACTGAGGCTCAGGTGATCTGGGTTCGAGTCCCTGCTCAGCCATGGAGCCAACTTGGGTGACTTTGGGCCAGTCACAGACTTTCAGCCCAACCTACCTCACAGGGTTGTTGTTGTGGGGATAAGATGGAGTAGGAGAATGATGTAAGCTGCCTTGAGCCCTTTGTAGGAAAAAGGCAGGATATAAATCGAAAAATAAATAAATAAATACAGAGCTGATGGAACTTATCTTTTTGGTAATGTTTTTGAATCTCTGTTACTCTCTTCTCTGAAAGGTACCTTGCTGTTATTTTTTTCTTAGCCTTGCTGTTTTGGATGAAATAGGCATAAATGTCAATCTTAGCTTCTGATGCCTTTTAATAAGTGCTAGGCTGATGGGCACCATTTTACTGTAATTTTATGGCTTTGTTTGTATCAACAGAGATGTCTTTGAGCTGAATTTCATGAGAGTCAAGCCTGCCAGTGGGTATTATGATTTTGCGATCAGCATTGAGGGGCACAGTCAATTTATTGCTAACAAGGTTGAGGTGGGTATATGTTTTGAATGATTTTTCAGACTCTGTTATTCACTGGAGCTTCTTCATTCCTGGTAGCTAAAAATCATTCAGTGTAAAAAAAAATCTTTCAGGGTTCTCTGCAAAAAAGAATCTTAAACTGTAGCAGCATAATAAAATAGTGGCAATTAAAATCCTATTCCTGTCCTGATTGTAAAGGCTGAGTTTTTAATTTTTTTAAGAGAAGGAAGCTCAGAGTAGGTATCAGGCCATCTCTCTGGGAAGAGCTTTCCATAAGTGAGGTGCCGCAATTGCAGTCACTCCCCACTTCCTACTAGATGGCAAGCACAGGGGCCAAGCATTTGGGCAACAGGATATGCTTTGCTAGGTCTGGGCCAGGCTGCAACCTTATTAAGATTAAAAAACAAGGATAGTTATGGAAACTTTTTAAACTTTTATCTGTGCACCCACTGTATAGACCTTGTAGGATTTGCTGGAGCCAATCAGGAGTGGTGTTTGAGCAGAATAAGCAACATCCTGATCAGTGAGCTGCTGGCCCAGATTTTTCACTAGAACAGAAAGAATTAGCTCATACAACAAACTCGAAATCTTGTAGTTGGAGAGACAGGGAGGTGTGCATTCTTATGCACTGTGATCACTCAAGGATTACTGGTCCTAGAATGCTTTGTGCATAGTCAGGAGGGAGGGACAGCTGGTAGGAGGGACAAAGCACCATAGTCAGGGACAGTGATCCAAGCACAGTAGGAGCCAATGCTGCTTCCAATTAAAAAAAATCAAATACTCAGAAAATTATATCCTTCTTCCAGCAGGATTTTAAATAAAAATAGCAAAAGAGTCTTAGTAGAAAAACTAATATAGGCCCAGCAATGTTTTCAGAAATGTAGAAAATGTAATTTCAGAATGAAAAGAACTTTTCTTATGATTCATGAAACTCTATGATGGTATGGAATTGTGGCGGGTGTATGGGTAGTGCCCTGCACAAGAGCACCAAGAGGAGAGCCTCCATGCCGAGGGCAGACTCATATTGGAGTAGGTTTGCTGCACTGACCATGTGCTTTCTATCCTCCTTACTAAAGAAAGGAAGAAGAAGGAACGGGTTTCTGCCGTATTGCTGACCATGTTGCAGAATATGTAATGGTCAGGCTGCAGGAGCTATGTTCAAAAGTCAGGCCTAGGGACTAAATAAAAAAGCCTGGGCTAGACATTATTACATTGATCTGTAGGAAGAAGCTATTGGCAACATGCAGAATGCATTCCATCCATCTACATAATAATCTACAGAATAAAGGACATAAAAAGGATCATTAGATACTTCTTATTCAAGTTTTAGTGACTGGTATACTGAACAAAATTGTATATTCCCTTTATTAGCGCTTGTTTCAACTTTAAGAAGTCTTAATGTTAGGAAGCAGAAATGTGGCCTGTAACTTCCTCACTATTTTGTGACTTTTAATTGTTTCCTGCAAAATAATTGTGAATTTTGGATTTTTTTTCTCATGCTATCTTAGCTTTCTATTTTTCTCTAGTTTCTTTTTAAAATTTATTTGTTTGTTTGTTTTATATCCCACTTTTTTCTTACAACAAACTCAAAGCAGCTTACATCATGTTCCTCCTCCTGCTCTCAATCTTATCCCCACAACAACCCTGTGAGATAGGTTGAGCTGAGAGTCTGTGACTGGCCGAAAGTCACACAGTTGGCTCCATGGCCAAGTGCAGGATTAGAAACCAGTTCACCTGAACTATTATACCACACTGGAATAACTTTTTTAAGTCATTCCCAAAGACACAGGAGTGGTGGCAACTGAAAGCAGTCATGGTGTATTACTTTCAAGTGCTGTTTACGCTGTATTTTTTTTAACCTTTAATTGCCTACTTAATTGAAAAATTAGCATCTAAGTCTTCCTGCTCACTCAGTATGGAACAGCAAAAGAAAGCCAACTTGTTTACAAGAGCTGGCCTTTGCCATACCTATCAAAATCAATGTGATAATTGGAATAATAATCTCCTTTAGAGCATCAGAAAGGGATTGCTGCTGCTGCTTTAACATTCTAGGAGCATAAGTGAAGGGTACTGGTAGTGCATTAATGTGGGGTTTGTACTAACACAGTGTAATAATAAGCTACATTATTGCTGAGGAGAGCTGTCAAAGGGCCCGCTTTTTTAAAGGTGGTCATTAGCGTTCATTATACTTAGTGCACCAGAATTTTTGGCAATTATGATCTAAATTTGCAGTTGGTATGATAACAGAAAGCCTGCATTGCCTGATATTAGCACGTGTGTGTGCATGTGTGTGGGGGGTTGGGGGGGAGGATGAATCACATGTAGATATGCTTCCAGGATAAACCATGCTGCAGCAACTATAGGTGTTACAAAATGCCTAAACACCAGTATTGTGCCAGAACTGAACTAAGCTGGCTGTATTGTAGCCTCAACTTGACAAAAGAGATGCACTCTATTTCAGAGGTTCAAAAACATGTAGCAGTGTTTTATTAGCTACAGAGAAATCTGATTACTTTCAACTTCTTCCTCTTCCCACCTTCTTGATATCTGCTTTTTCAGAATGCTTGCCTGAGCCAACACAATGTAGAGGATGTTTTTAAAACCATTCATTTGGAGGGGTATGAAAATGCAGCAGCAATGGCTGGGCACAGATTGTAGCTCCGGAAATATTGTGGTCTGAGCATGAAGGGGGTTACCATATGCATCTGCCCTGCATATCTCTCCTCCCTGTAACTTACCCTTCCTCATGCATCCACAGGCACCTCTCCCTCCAACCTCACATCTCTTCCATTTTTGCTTCCCATTTGTAACTTTTTTGTACTCCCAAATCCATTTTTAACTCCAGGCTTATTTGGAACAACAGCCTGGGGACCCCTAGTCTATCCTCATCCTGTACATTTGGGTAGGCACATGCTTACCAAGAAATTATACAGCACATATTTAACTTTCCCAGTAGCCATTATGCATCTGCTAGGATCAGCAATGTTTGCTGTTTTTGAGGGCTGTGATTAGCTCAATAAATGCTGATTTTCATTTAAACCATTTGAAATAAACTGATTTTCCTGTGTTTTAACTCTTGGTAAACAATTTCCTTGTCTCTGATTTCATGATTAATAGCAAGCTGCCTATTTTCACTAGTGTTTAATCCTCAGAGTTTAAAAAACCCTACACATTTTCAGGGTGTACATCTTAATTGCCATGTGCGTGTAAGCCAATTCATTCATTCATTCAAAACTTTCCTATACCGTCCCATTGTTCAAGAGGCAACATTGTAAGAGGAAGGTATATATGAATACACATACTTTACTGGAGAGGAAGCTGGTTAGCTCAGCAAGAAAAAGTTTCAGTAGTATATGAAGCTGCAGAAAACACGCCACCCTGTTTCTTTGTTTTGATCTTAGTGTTACAGTATAAAATTTGTTCTCTTACTACCTTGCTTGACCTCCCCAGCTGAGTGGTTTTACACTGTCAGCATCTGTGTATGAGTTTTTCATTGTCTGAACAAGCACGGAATTACCCTCAAAATATGGTGTGATTTTTGCCTGTTGACATGCTGCCTGTACAGTCATTCAAGAGAAGACAGTCTCATCTTGCTTTCTGAAGACTGCTTTATTAGAATATAATGAATGTTTTTTAAATGACTTATTGTATGCTGCAAAACTGTTACTGTGATCTTATTACAAACTTCCAAATGCTGAAGTATAAAAATACTGGGTGTAAATGATAGGGGTGTTCAACAACAGTAATTCCATAAAAGAATTCTGTGGCTGATAAAGATTGATTTTATTTGTAATGGTTTTCAGACTATGTCACAATTTTATCATTTTACCCTTCTTTTCTTCTTTTTAATCCTAAAGGTTATCTTTGTTCTGATTCAATTTTGGTATCCTGTCATTGTGTTTGTTGTTTAAGTGTTCTTGGTTTTCTTTTCTGAAGAAAAGGGATATGTTTCTCAAATACATAATTACATAGAAAAAAGATGAACATGTATTGGCAGCATCTGCCAACAACAGAATAAAGAACATTTTTCACTAGCAATTTTCTTAGAATAGAATGCAATTTAAAATAGAACACAATGTAGAACAGTGTGGTAATGTGACTCAAATGCTGGCTTTAACCAGAGAAACCCTGGTCTTACATCCTCATTAAGTTTTTATGTAGTGCTGGCCACCCAGATTTTTACTTGCTGGGTGGCCAGCACTATTTCTCAAGTTAGCCTATCTTTCAGGGTTTTTGTAAGGATAAAAAAAGAGGTTAAGGTAGTGTGGGGAGAGCACCAAATATTCCACCCTGAGAAGATTTTGCTGGGAAGTGTGTTTTGTGTGGGGGGGGGGGCATGTAATGTCACCTGTTCATTCACAGGCCACATCCTCTATTGATTTAATTTTTGCTTGCAGTTGAAAGTCAAAGTCTCAACAGAAGTTGGCATTACAAATGTGGATCTCTTTACTGTGGATAAAGATCAGAGCATTGCACCAAAAACAACCAGGTAAAATAACTAGGTGCAACTAAATGCTATATGACAGCAGTGTGAATCCAACCTTGTTGTCAGCTTTTTATGAAGAAAGAATGGATTTAAGCTGATTCTTCAGTTATCTGGTAATCCTTTTGTATGTAGTCATACATTAACTTGGTTCACACAGCATTTCTGGGCTTTTAACCTGTGATAGCTGTGATGTATACCAGACAACATTTTGAATAGGTGATGTCTAATTGGGATGATGGAGGAAGGGTAGCCATGTTATGCAAATCCAACCACCATGGTTTGTTTGAGGTTTAAACATCCTAGGAATTTGTGATCAGCAACATTAGTCTTTTCACATACTAATCCACTCCTGGTTTTCCCTAAGCATTGTTTTCAGCAACCTGATTTGTAGTCACGGGAAAAGCAATTTAGCTCTTGTGGTTATTAGACAGTTAGGAGTCAGAAAAACTTCGATGTACTGTGAATCACCCAGAAATCTATGTGCTGTGAGCCGTCCCGAGGCTATGTAGCAAGGGGACAGCATACAAAAATTTTAAATAAATAAAACTAGCGCTGGATTCCATTTTACCTTCTGCCCATGCCTACTTTACAGGAAAGGCAGTGGCACGGTTTGAGACTTTCCAGCTCACTTACAGTTTGCTGGAAGCAAAAGATGATAATCAAATTACTAGCCTGATTTCTTCAGCATTAGTTCACTTTATTATCTTCTAACTGGCAGTTTGCTTTTCTTAATTCAGAGTTACTTACCCAGCCAAAGCCAAAGGATCCTTCACTGCTGACAGCCATCAGAATTTTGCCTTGTCCTTCCAGCTGATTGATGTGAACACTGGAGCAGAACTCATTCCTCATCAGGTTAGTCTTTTCACGTCATTATGATGTTCTCTGTTTGCTCCCCAAATAAGTAATTCTGGCAAGAGAACCCATTCGAAGTAGTTTGAAGTCAGTCTGAATTGGATGATGACAGGAATACTATTACACTCACCCCAAACTGTTTTGAGATATAAGAGGCAATTTGTTGTCTCAATTCAGGTGTGAAAAGCAATATGTAATTGGAACTAAATATGGATAGGTAAATTTGCATGTGCAAGTATGGAAGCGCCATGTCCATGTCAAACCATTCAGCTACCCCACTGCTATTTGCTTTTGTAGGCAGGAGCTCTCCAAGGTTTTAGCAGAAAACATAGTGGGGAAAACACCATAGCTTACTGGCAGGGCACATGTTTTTGTTCCAAGTTCTCTCATCTCCACTAATTAAAGGACAGACTGGGAAGGGATCTTTGCTCAAAAACATGGAGCAGTCTTTCCCACTGTGGTGTTCCCTGGATGCTTTTGAATGTGGCTCCCATCAGCCCCAGGCACCATGACCAATAATGAGGAATGCTGAAATGTGCAAACAACATCTAGAGAGTAGGAGGCTAGGAAAGGCTTACTTGGGATTGCCAACCAGAGTAAAGAACAGTCAGTCTAAATATTTGGTAATTTCCTGGATTCCATATTATGAAGCCATGTTGTCTGGGATCCTTATAAATTGAGACTTATAAATTATAAATCCTTATAACTTGGGACTGAACATGCAAATCATGTGCTTTCTATTACATTACAGACTGACCTTACATGCTGCTGTAAAAGCACATCTTGACCCTAGATACAATTTTCTTCCCAATTTTTTTAGTAATTTGCAAGCCAGTCTTTGACATCTTACTCTTCAGAGTTCCTAATTTATGCTAGTTAATTTGGAATACAGATGAATGTTCAGTGGAAGATAGATGTATCTCAGAATTTGTTGCCAAATAAGTTTTCTGACAATGACTGTGTGAGTGTTGCCAAAACCATTCATTTTTCTTAAGAAAAGTGAATGTCATGCAAGAACAATCTGCCTTTGAGTTATAATAGTAAAATATTCAAACAGGGAAAAGTAAAACAGAAAAATATTCTCAATTTTCTCAACATAACCTTACACATTTTGCAGTATTATTGGTGTAGTTGCAAAGAGGGTTGGGAGGACAGCAGCAATCAATTAGAAAATGGTTGACCCATTGTAAGCTATGGAAGAAACATCTTTTTCCCCTCCTTGGACAGTAAACCATCTACTACATTATCTCCTCTGCACAAATGAAATAAAGAAGGTATTAAAAAGCTTTGTGATGCAGTGGTGGTAGAAGCTAACACCGGTTTAATCACATCTTTCTTCAGACATTCGTACGGCTTCATAATCAGAAGACTGGGCAGGAGGTGGTGTTTGTTGCAGAACCAGACAGCAAAAACATTTACAAATTTGAACTAGACACTTCTGAGAGAAAGACAGAGTTCGATTCCGCATCTGGGACCTATACCCTATACTTGATCATTGGTGATGCTACTTTGGAAAACCCAATCCTCTGGAACGTGGTATGTTGCACTTATCAGGGCTATACAGAAAGAAGAACCTACATTGAGAGTGACTCTAGATTACTAGTTCATTGGTAAACTCAAGAAACCAGCTTGACTTTGAACCAAATAAAATTGATTTAACATGTACTTTGTCTTACAAAGGGAAAAAGAAATGCCATACAGCCTGTCCCAGTCTCGTGCCTTCCAAAATGGCCAAGAAAGGTGATGATGATGAGAATTGTAGTTTAAGTCACCTGGAGGACACCAGATTGAGGAAGGCTGAAGCTGGTTCTTACTTTATTGGAATGTATGTGCTTTAAATGGGCTTTAAATGGCCACATGGGCTTTAAATGGGCTCTACCAAATAATGCAGTAATACAACATTAGGTTGTTCTTTTGTCATTCTTTTTATGCCCACAAATGGGTCTTTAGTCACAATTATTGTTGGAAGGTAAAAGTGTCCCACTCTGATTTCACAGCTTATCTGCAAAGAAATTATCTCTTTCTGTCTTGCTTAACTTAGTCAGATGTAAGAAGGATAAAATCCACAATTATTTATGTTAAAGTATTTGGTCATCATGATCTAACATCCATTTTGTTACCCCAAATGACCTGACTCTTTTACTACATGGGATTCCCAGTTGCAGAGAGACAAGAGGGTTACTTTCAGATTTGAGATATTGCACATGCAAATTCTTATAATGAAATTATGCCTTCCCAGATCCAACTCTCCAGCTGAATCCTAGTTTAGTTGAGAGATGTTGCTATACTCAATATCAACTGTATTGCTAATATTATAGCTTGATGCGAACATTCATGTTCTGTTTGGTATACCCAAAATAGAATGACTTCCCAGCTCTGGGGAAAGAAAGCCAGTCATTTTCTCCAGTGGTTTCCCCCTACCCAGTTGCACATCTTTGGATTCCTGTTCTTTTGATAAAAATGGAAGCATTGCCTCTTAGCATTATACATTTAATTTGACATTGCTTGAGTTTGGAAAATCATAGTCCCTTATGATGAACATGTTATTAAAGCTATTTAAGATATGGAGGAATGTTTCTTTAAATAAATTAGACTAGCTTAGCATCATATACTTTATGTATAGGGATAGTAAATATAAACCAAGAACTACATATAGCAGTTCTGCTTATTTTCAATATTCTCTTCAGGCTGATGTTGTTATCAAATTCCCAGAAGAAGATGTTCCATCCACAGTCCAGTCAAAGAGCCTTTTCACTCCCAAGCCAGAGATTCAGGTACAGACCAGATGATGATCAGCTGGATGCGTTCTCTACTTAGCTTTCTCCAGTATGGTACCTTCCAGATGTTTTGGACTGTATCTCCCATCAGCCCCAGGCAACTTGGCTGGGGATAATGGGAGTTGTACTACACTGTACCTGGGCATTACCAGTTGGGGTTTTGCTTTGACCATTTTTGTTTTCCTTTTATTGTTCTTGTGGCAATTCATTTTAGGTGTCCCCTAGTTTTGCCAGTATATTTCAAGAAACCTTTGCACACTTATTGGCTAGAGCTACTTATACAGCCAGCACTGAATACCTTTGCTGTATTCTCCCACCCATTCTACCGGGGCTGACATTCACATGTCCCATTGTGGCACCAGCTTGCTTTCTTTGAGCATGCACTTTCTCTTTGCTTTGAACCTTGAGATGTCTTGCAGCACACAAACTTTCTTCTGGATACCTTCCAAGATTAGCATTGATCATGTGTAGAAAGGGTTGGTGATTCTTTATCTGAATATGATACACACAGAAGAAACTACCAGAGCAGGAAAAGGTGTGAATGGATAGCAGTTTCTGTTGAACTTTCAATTTTAGATTCTGCAGTGAAGAGTCTGTAATATATAGCTATGATAAAATGATAGCTAGATATCCTGACCCAGAGTTTTCTAGCTGCCTGATGCGATTAATTATTTTTCTGATAAGTTTCTCCTGGAACTCCATTTCTTATAGCACCTGTTCAGGGAACCTGAGAAAAGGCCTCCTACTATGGTATCTAACACGTTCACAGCCTTGATCCTCTCCCCACTTCTTTTGCTCTTTATTCTGGTAAGTTTCTCATATTCAGACCAATATATTGCTTCCAGTTAGTGCTGAAATCAGAATTGTATGAGGCTGCAAGTTGAAAGAATCTTCTTGGATACCAAAAACTGAATTACAGGAAGCGCAGTGCAGCACTATGGGCCAGATTTCTAATGAACAGTATCACTATTTGTGCAATATGATTGGTATTTGGTACTGATGTGGATGAATGCACACAAGCATGCACATATATTTATATATACATTTTTAATTTCTGTTCTGAAATTTATTTCCCTCCAAAAAGGATGTGTATGGTATGGGTTCCAACCTGGTCTTTTCTCTAATGCATATTTTCTAACTTTTCAGTGGATAAAAATTGGAGCCAACATTTCCAACTTCAGCTTTGCCCCGAGTACCATTATCTTTCACCTCGGCCATGCAAGTAAGTTCCTCCCCACTTACCATTTCTCACATAGGCTTTGCCAGCAAAAGCCTGATGACAAATGGGTTCACAGGCCATTAACTATAATAAGCGTAATGGCATCACATTCCTCTCTTTTTTGCCATCCCCTTTTTACCTTCCATCGCTGAACACAGGTTATGAATTAGTTTTAACAGCTGTCATTAGACTAGGCTTCTCTTGTTTCCATTTAAGTACATTTGATAGCACAGAATGTTCCAACTTTGCATTGTGGTGGTTTGTCTTTTGATATGTTGAATGCTTCTCACTGGAGAGGCTAGTGAAATCCCTTCTTTTACTTAATGTATTGGGAAAAGTTCCATTAAGGTTTCTTGCAGTCTTATAGAGAGGCAATAGCCATCTTTAGCCATATTTACATCTCCTGATATACAATTGGGGGCATGTTGACTTTTCATTATAATACTAAATTGCCTCACACAGAGACATACTGAAGTTTAAACTTCCTGTTGTCCTGGAAGGCATTCCCTGTTCCTATTAAATTCTCGATATGCTATTTCTTTATTGTTCTCTATGGTCCATATTTTCCTGACGAAATGGAAAACCACTGCCACTATTGTCATGGAATAATGCAAAAATAATCCTTTAAACAACTTGATTAAAACTTGCATTTGAACCTTGCACAACTTTCCTTGAGACATAAAAGAAACATAAGACTAGATTCAGTCTTTTGTCCCACTCAAATCAACATGAGAAAATTTTAATAGAATTCAATGTGACTTAGTTTGGATTTAATGCATACATTGAAAAAATGTCCTGCTAAGGATTTGGTTTGTTTCAGTATACAGTTCTTGATTGTTCCATGAGTGCAGAGATTTTGATTTCCTGCATTCTCTGAAAATCATAGAAGCTTCTCAGTAATGCCAGTGGTGTTTTAAGAGTGTTGATTCATTAGTCGTCTTCCACATCGCTTGCCCTTACCTATTATCACCCTTGCCAAAGTAGTTGCCTGGTGAAAAGTGTTGCACAAATGTGAAAAGAAATACTCCATTTTTTAGTGAAGATCAGCTGTACAACGTTCAGATGCCAAAAATTTAAAACAACTAATTTGTCCACTGGAAGACAACATTCTTTCCTATTCTGTTTAGGTTTTTTTAATCTAGCTAAAATGCAGAAGTACACAGGGACATTGATCTACTTTGAATGATTACAAGTTTGAAACAGTCTTGCCATATTTCTTCAGTGTATATCAGGGGTGGCCAGACTTGCTCAGTGCAGGAGCCACACATGGTCTGATGTTTGAGAACCACTAGCAGTTGCCCACGTGTGTCGAGCAACAAACATGCACCCGGGGTGGTGACTGCAAGCAGCAAGTGGGCTCCCATGAGCAGTGACTGTGGGTGGCAAGCCACAAGCTGCAAATTCAACTCAAAGGGCCACATGCAGCTCCCGAGCCTCGGTTTGACCACCCCTGGTATATAGATAAATTCACTATTGCCTTCAGGTCCACTGGTCCAGATACTCACAGGAACCGGTCTCAGGGAATTAGTATGCATTGATTCTATACTGCTTGCGCTGTGGTTTTTATCAGTCTTCTTTTCAAATCAAAACTTACAGCTATAAGTTTCTTTTTTATGTATTATTATTATTATTATTATTATTATTATTATTATTATTATTATATAGCTATGCTGGGGCTCATGTATGTCTACTGGACTCAACTCAACATGTTTCAGACCTTGAAGTACCTCGCTATTCTTGGCAGTATTACTTTCCTAGCAGGCAACAGAATGTTGGCTCAGAAAGCAGTAAAAAGGTAAGAGGACAGCCAAGAGACAGGCCCTATTGTAAATGTATCAAAGTAGGAAGAAGATCCATTTTGAACATCTAGGTGTCCTTTCCAGCTTCTTTGTTATATCTCACCTTAAGTGGTAGGCATCTCGGTCCCACATTATATTTAGCATTACTGGCTAGTGATGCCAGTAATGGAAGGGTTCTAACATTTGAGGAGATCAAATGATAAAATAACTTAATTGAGAGAGTTCCTTTTCTAGTATACTCAACAAAAATAGGCAGCTCCGGTATGAGCAAACAGGCAGTTTGATCAGCTGAGTCTAGGCCCTCTCCTTAAAAAGCAGCTGAGTCTAGGAACTCTTGACTTAAATTTCTCACAGTGCCCACCATGTAGTGTTGTTATAGAGTCTGTGGCACTGTGGGAAATTAAATGGCAGCCCCCAGGGGCCCTGCAGATAGGACTCTTCCAAAACCACTATGCCAATCTCTGATGCTGAGTACTTGGCAACTCAGATCAGTGTCAGTGGAAGCACCTGGAACTTGACCTCCTAGCAGGGTGCTTGCTTTTTATGACTTCTGAAGATAAATTTGCCTCATTAGTGGCAATAAATATAATTTAGAAAGAGTTGCATGTTGCAGAAGGGTAGATGATGGGGTGGGAAGCTCTGAGTTCTCTTAGATTGAAAGTACTCCTCTGAACTCTCCCAAGTGAGCTCTTCCTGCTTAGTATCAAGTCAGTTCTCACCAAAAGTAAGAGACTATAAAGACTCATCTTTATCCTGGTGCCCTTCAGATGTGCTGGACTACAGTTCCCAGTTGGCTGGGGGGTGATAAGAGCTGTGTTCCAACACACTTGAAATCTACCTGGTTGGGGACTACTAGTTTCTTTGTGGAATTTTCCATGCTCTTCCCCAATGTACTGAATGTATCCTTCCAGTAGATTAGTGACACTGCCATAAGATAACTGTAATATGGATTGCATAGACTTCTAATGGTGGCACTAAAATTTCAGCTGGATCAGAAGTCTTTTTCTTGTACTTAAACTTTTTTTCAAGAAGATCATTCAGTCACATTCTTGGGGCTACATCCCATGGGATAACATAAATACGAGAAAATACTATATTGGTACATTGGTACCAAAATCATACTGGCATGTCAGAGATTTGCCCTGTTCATATCTTTTTCATGGACCCATGAAATGTGGAGCACAGGGGAGCAGAACGCTCCCCATGCAATGGCTGCCAGCAGGTATGTGCACATGTAGGTCCTCCGTGTCAAGGAAGAAGCAGAAAGTAGAACTCCAGATATTTTAGACTGCAACTCCCAGCATTTATGAGCCTCCTGAATATTGCCCCTGTTGGCAGAGGCCTCTGGAGTTCCAGTCCAAAACATCTAGAGAGCTACCTTCTGTTCATCCCTGCTCTAAGTCCAATCACAGGGCATGCCTACAGTTGTGTGTGAACTGGTATGCTGCTTTGCAGAGCCTGCATCACAGGGTAGAGGAAACAGCATAATCCTGCTATCTCTGTCACACTTTATGCGTGGAAAAGATTTGGAAAAGATTAACAAACATACGAAAAAAATTGACCAGTGTCTCAGTTGGATTACCTATATGCACCCTTCCCTGAGCCTGTTTTTTGGGTTGTGGAGTAAGTTATGAGGACTGTCACTAGTGGAAATTGTAATCTAGACAGCACTTTATTGCCATAACAAAGCATTATCTGCCTCCTTGTCAGCCTAGGGCATCCTTCACCAACCTAGTGCCCTCCAGTTCTTTTAGACATCAGCTCCCATTAGCCCCAGCCAGCATGGCCAATGGTCAGGAATCCTGGGAATTGTACTTAAAACAGTTGGAGGGCACCAGTTTCTGGGAGGCTGACTTAGCATATTCTGTGTACTCTGTTGATCGGTGCTGCTCTTAGAAACATGACAGAAAGAGTGAGACCCTTTGTCTGATAGTATGTAGAGGCCAAATCGCATGGTGAGGTGGAAGATTTGAAATGGCTAGCCATTCTGTCCATTTCTAGCTGAGTTCTCATTGGTAACATAGGACAATCCTGCAGCTTCATAGATTCAAATAAAGGAAATCTGCCCAGGATGGCAAACCAATGCAGCTCTTCCAGCTCACCATGCAGTTTAATTTCCACATGACTGTCAGAGATTCTTGGAGAAGGCATTAAGGCAACGCATAGTAGACAGGTAAAAAAGGAGTTTAAGGGAGAGGGTAGAGGAGGAGTAGCAAGGAGGGGCTGAAGCCAATGAGGCTTCATAGAGAAGGGGTGGGGCAAGTGTAGGTTTACTGTAAATAGAGTGTAAAAAATCCCTGCTGGAGCTGCTGCTGTTCCTCCTTGTCCCTCTCCCTTTTCCTTTCTCTTTGCATCATCATAAACTCTGTTCACTAGTTCATAAGCATGAACTCCATTTTTGCAGAAGTCCCCCACCTGAAAGTGGTTTCAAGTGGTTTTAAAATTAGAAGCTGGCCTGAGTTCCTGTTTCAGTTGTACATGAGCAGATAATCAAAATGCTTTCACTTGCATCAGTGGGGCATCAGGGTTGTAATTTTAGAAGCCAAACCAATAGTGCACTTAGCAGTGGACATGGTAATTCGTTTTTCTAAATCCTAATGAAATAGTTGTAAGATTGCTGATAGCATAGCTTTGCCAATGTTACCTGAGCTATTGGCTTCTAATCTAGCCTGCCTGGTGGTGTAAGCTTTCCTTTTAAGGGTTTATAAAAGAGTGGTAGTCCTTGATGCTCACCCATAGTTCAGAAGGGTTTCTGGAAGTTCTAGTTTTGCTGCTTGCATGTTCTTTTCTGTGTGTTGCTAGTTCCTAGAGCAATAATGCTTTCTGCCTTACTGTCCTCTCTGAACCTTTATCCCTCTTTCCTTTTGGCAGGATCGCTGCAGAACAGAGCAGTAGGTTGGCAAAGTATAGAACACTGCGGTAAAAGGGGGTTGTACTAGTGACCAGCTCTTCCTAGAAGTAAGGGACTTTGAATGCTGCCTTTCCTAAGCATGTTGGCTGCTTCATTTCATGCCTATCATTCATTTCTTCCTATGTTTAAAGGAATTTTAGCTGAAACCCCTTCCAGCCTGCCTTCTACACATTTGAACCTGGCAAGGGGCATGTTCTTTGAACTACATCTAGTTTGATGTTCTCATCATGCCATTTAGATTGCCTTCCTCATGTTTCAAACCTGTATAATATTTTAATGGGCATCTCTGTATGCATCTTCATTTAATAGAGGTGTTAACCAATTTTAGTTGCTTCTGGATTGCAAAATTCAATGTTGTGTCTTAGTGTTGTTATTTATATTCACCCTTCCTTTCAACAGTGGGCTCAAGGCAGGCAGTCTTCCATCCAGGTACTGAGTAGATGTAGACCTGCTTAACTTCAGCAAGATTGTCACTGTAGCACGTGTCATCAAGTCATGCCCTTAAGTAGATGTGCAAGTCCCTGCAATTGAATAAATAAAGGCTCCTAAGGACAAAATTCAGTAAGATAGTTGCAGACAAATGCTTATTTTTACATTTTCCTTATTCTCACCTAAAGCAGTGAGGATATGTTATTACCAGTAAAATAAGCATTCTGAAGGGCATGGCGTGTACACGGTGTGCATCTCACCTTGCTTCTCAGTTCATGAGCCCATCCACTGTTCTCTATTTTCTTCCTTTATCATAATTGGGAATGGTGAAAAGTGACTGAAGCAGCAGACTAAATAATAAGGCACAATAGGAGGAAGGTTCAGAACCCTTCTCTTGTGCTCTCCTTTCAGTGGTTGGGAAGATGCACACTTCACATGTCAGTGGGGTTGGCAGAGGAAACATAACTTTGTCATGTCTGTGTTAGACCTCACTTTTAATCGGGAAGGATTTTAATAATATTTTCTTTTCCATTCCCTTTTACAGTAATGTACCAGCACCAAGAGTTTCTCAAGAACAAATGTGTTCTCTTTTCACAGCCTCCCTTGTTAATCTCCAAAAGCTTTAGGGGATTGATCAGCCAGTAAAAGGTTGCAGCCCTGTTGCATACAAAACAGTTCTGGGACATAAGCAAGAGCATACATTCTGCTAAGAGCTAGTCATGTACTTAAATGTTGTGGCTAGAGGCTTGCTGGCCAGGCTTGCTTTGCGGTGGGTCTGTTGATTCTTCATTCTCAGTCTGTTGGGCTTTGTTGCTTTACTGGGTAGGCATCTTTGGAAAAACAGGGAGACTTAAGTGGTTTGATTACATGGGGATCTGGCTTAGTATACCCAGTGCAAGTGTGTATACAAAGGACAAAATTCTATATACCAGTACTGAAATCGCTAGAGGGGAAGTAACAGAAGAGCCCAAAGGTTGCAGAACAGAAATTATTTAGGAAAATGCTTAACTGGGCAATCTACCCTCGTAAAAACACAGTTGATGTAGTTCTGTGCATGTTCAGTGGGCACTAAATGCAGTTGAAAAGGAAAATCTAGAAACCGGGGTGTAGGGCTGAGCCAGTAGAATACAGAAAATAGCCATAACCTTAACAGCTTTAAAATTGTGTTGCAGGTCATACGTCTTCTATATTCACTATATTTAATTTTTGCTAGACAAAGCCTTGGCATTTCTACTGCCAGTTTATTTAATGTGGGATTGATTGGAGTTCTGCACAATAAAAGGAAGTCTCAGAGTTACATGTTTGAAGAGAAACAACTGAAAATCTTTTGCTCTGTTTAATCAAGTTTGGTTCTCCTCTTGAACAGCCTCTGGCCTGCCCAGTATCCCATATGTTGCTTTCTCCCTCTACATTCCTGGTTAGGATCAGTATTGTGTTCATTTTTTCAGAATTGTCGTAGTTATTTAGACTGCAAAATCTGTAATTTGGAAAGTTGAACTTCCCAGGAGCTCGATTCTGGACTAACAAGAAGGTTATGGAAGTCAGGTTCATATTTATGGAAATTGGTGGACAGGTCTGCCCCTACTCTGGGATGCATGATGCTGAACTGCCTGGCATGTTGCCTGAAACTGTGTGTCTAATTTCTCTGCATGGATGTAACTTCTTCATTTCTCAAACTTTAATTATTTATTCTAGTGCAGTAAAAGGCACTTGGAGAGCCAGGTAATATTTTGAACAGAATCCTATGCAAGTTGAGACAGAAAAAGGGCTACCTTTCCAGCCCCATCTAGGCCATTTTTCTGTTTAAGCATAGAATAATTTAGCCATTATTCCAGACACATCACCTGAATACTGGGTACCAAAATATTCTAACTTTTCACTGAGTCAGTCCTTATTGTGTAATAAGAATAGATTGTGCCACTTAAATAAATTTAGTAATTCTTTATATAAGTTTTTCAGTTTTTGAAAGTATTTGGGACTTGGATACAAGGCACATTAGGAATGAACTTTATGGGGTTTAGGGTTACTATTGCTTGGAACATTAGCAATACTAGAGCTGAAGAAAATGGTACAGAACACCAGTAAAGCCTTTATCATACCCTCTATCAGCTTCCTTGCTTTGAGTAGCCCCACCTTACTGTTCTCTGTATTAAGAGAAATAGATTTTTTCTTCTTTTATTGTGAAAAATATTTTTTTCAGGATGCCAGATTCAGGACCACATTTCCAGGTTCTGCATCTGTGTAGTTGCACCAGAATTATACAAAATATCTGCAGTCTTACAGATGTAAACTTGAATGGAATATTTTGAGGACAATTTGAACTGAGGATTTGAAATTTATGAATGAGCAAGTCATCTGCTTTTGTTTACTTTAGTATATAAGTATTCATTCTTGAAAACTGAGTTTTAAAATATGCACATTAAGAACACAAACGTTCAGGAAGGGTACATTTTACAGGAGTTTCCTTCGTATTTCAAAGGCACACGTTTCTCTACATCATACATGAATATTACTTCTGCTTCAGCCAATCTAATTTAGGCATGACTAGCCACAAACTCACTACAAATGCATATAATATAGGAATAATAATGTTCTGTATTACAAAAGAGTTCTAAAGGCTCCGAAGAGAATGTATAGGAACCACTTTGTCCTTGTGAGTGCTTGATAATTGCTAAGAACAATATTTACTCTGTTGAAAATATTTTAAAGCAAAACTTTTATCTGGCCAAATGAAAGGCTTGACACTTTTGGATGAGAGGAATCCCAGTAATATAAATTAAGTAGTAGTAGGGTTGCTTCCTGTTACATTTGTTTCAGGACATAGATAAAGCAAATATTTATAAATAGGAGGAAATTACCTGAAAAATGTAATGGAACCATAATTCATCTAAATGTGTGTTACTCAGCATTTATTTTTCTGATGGCATTGCATTTCTGAATGTCAGATTCCAACAGTTTAGATCCTTTCTTAGTCAGCCATATGCCCCTTTCATTTGATTCCGCATGTTCCTTATAAGCTTACCTATTGTAAATCTGAGCAGCACAACATTTAGTTCAATTAAAGTAGAAAGATCTAATCTGATGTTTAATCCTATCACTTCAACTAGGTATGTTTTTTTAATTACTAAAATGTAGGCTACAATTCTATGTATGTCATCCGTTAGCTGCCCCAAGCACAGTAGAATTCACTTCTGAGTAGCCATTCACAGAACTGGAATGTAAGCATTTACATTTCTCACTATAAACATAATTTTCATGCATGTTCTTTGTATTCTTCAAATTTGGCCATCCCTAAATCTGACATTGTAGGATACCATTTTAGCATTATGGTATTGAACTGTTTACTATCCCAGAAAGGCATATCAGTACATTAAATGTTTTACATCTGAAATGTTAACTTGCAGGCATTTCTTTGTATCCCTCCAGAACACACTAAAGAAAGAAGAACTAAAAGAACCAATTTGAGCCACAACGGAAAGGAGCCAAAGAAGTGTTTAAAAGCCAGAAACTGAAATATGGAAAATAAATTACCTATAAAATTGAAAAGATTGCTTTAAAAGGTTTTCCTACATTTCATGTTTAGTTGAATGTCTTAAGTGCTTTGAGTTATGACAAACATTGTGTGTACCATGAAGGATTTTAGAATCTGATGGGCTCCTGAATTGTCATTTTGACCTTTTTTTTTTTTTTACTGTCTCCTTTATGAAATAAAGAGACAAAACAGTCAACATTTGTTTTTTTCTTTTTTTCCTGTATCTCTGAAACAAGCTTGTGCAGCATAGCTTCTTACTCATTGCATAAGAGAATCCCCTTACTCTGTTTGATAAATCCCTCAGGAATTTCAAAAGTGGAAGAAACTTGAATAACTTTTGCAAGCAGTTTGGAATGTAGTCTCAAGAATCAGAAGCCCTATTGCATGTGTGCAAATGCTTTATACATGTCTGAAATAACTCTAAATAATGGTAATTGCCTTTGCAATAGTCATGATGATGTAAAAGAGAACTTTTCTACTGCTTGCCAATCTTACCATTTTACTGGCACTTGTTTTCTTGGTTCCTAACCTTCCTGCCAAACCATTATTGACAATGTAGGAAGTTATACTTGGTGTTTTTGTTTTAAATATTTTTATTTCTTTTCCAATTTAATCATTTTGGCTTTGGTTGACTGAGTTCTCGTTAACACAGTGCTGGGCAAAACCTGTCCATGGTCCTGAAATCAGACCAGTACAATGCATTGCAGGCTAGTTCAGAAGTGATATAGCACCCAGGGGGCCCCATGCAGTTTCAGCTGTGACATTTTGCCCTTGATTATATACTTCTTTGGCTTATGCACTGGCTCAATAGGAAAAAAAACAGCTATATGAAATTTGCTATATATCATGGTCATTTATTCTCAAGTTGAAGAGAGGCTATACATTTAGTGATCTGACTTATTTCACTATAGTAAGTACAAAGAATAAAAGCCCCTCATATTTTTGTTCTTCTGACATTTGTCTGTGGTAGGTGATGACATTCCAGCCAGCATGATTCTCACACTCTTGTTTCTGCTGGTTCAGAGAAACTGACATTTGAAGAATGGCACTAATCAAAATGAGATGGATTGAAATTTATTTACAGCTCCATGAGCTTGGCCAGGACACTGACAAAATCTTCCAAATGGTTTGTGCTGATATCTTGCGGCCTGTAAACAAGGAATTGAAATAAAGAGGTGTTACTGTGTGACAGTCATTTACAGTGGAATGACAATTTCCCTGGGTAAGATGCCAAATGATTGCTTGAATACACATACTACACATGGTGACTTAAGATCAGGTGATGCAGCTAAGAGAGGCACATAGAAAGCCACATTACATCATGTCAAAATAACTTGTCCATCTCTAGACCAATATTGTCTACTCTTGACTGGCAGTATGTCCCACTGGACTCTTGGCAAAGGTCTTTCCCACCCCTCGTTACCTGATCTGTGCAGCTGAAGGTGTCAGGGACTGAAATGAGACCTTTACCAAAAGACTTGATTCCTCTCCGATACCACTAAAAAGTGGTTCTGACACAAATCAGCTGGCCCTTTCTTAAAACCTAGGAAGGGCAGCTTCAGGTACTGGGTTGTATCCAGTGGTATCCAATAGTAGCACAAAGCTTCTGTTTGCTAAAGTTCCATCTTAATTCTTGTTCAATGAGCAAATCTAATACCTTGATATTTTGCACTGTTGCACAATTTATGAGTTTATTGGGCTAGTTATGCTAATGTTCCACTAGTGGCTGCTCTGACTCTTATGCAAGTGGAAAAACTATAATATTCGATATTAGTACTACTATTTCATTATATTAGATATTACCTTACTATTTCCCTAGCTTGAAAGAATATCTATGTGGCAGAACTAAGGGCCACTTCACACATCATATTTTACCGACAAAACACTTGAGGGGATGCTGTGGCCAATACTGGTTTCCTCAAAGAAGTGTTTGTGTGTATTTTAAGGCACTTACTTTGAAAGGTAATTTTGCAGAATCATACACCCTCAGGTACTTCAATGAATATTTCTACTAACCTTTGATTCTGCAACATGGCTCCCAAGACATTTCTCAGTACCATCTGCTGGTGGTAGCGGCTGTCCATAAGGATGCTGTCAGACTGACGCCTGGTCAAGAAATAAATCCAAAGCTTTTGAAGATAAATGTGGGGAGATCCTGTTAAGAAAGTTCTTTGAGTGAAGATTTCCCCACTGAATGTTTGTTTGTGACTTAGAATGCATTTCTGTGGTAATTACCATTGTGCCTCATTACTGACTGATGCTGAGACGTATCTGGACAGGATCTCTTCACAATCAAGGTTTACTGCTAAATAGGAAATGTAAGCATCCATACCCACCCTGGACCTTCTGTCTGACAGAACTATAGGAGAGACACTGCTACCAAAGTAATAGCAATCACAAGTATTAGAAATTGGTGTTCTTTTAAATACTGTAAGCTATCCTGAGATTTTGGTATAATAGGATGGCATACAAAAGTTTTTAATAAATAATAAAATGCCACTTACCCAAGTCTTTTCCCAACAATGCCCTGTAATAACTTCTGGGCTGACATCTTGCCCCGAACTTTCCGGTAGCTATCAGTGAATATGGCATCTGCATGACGCTGAATTCTAACAAAGCATAAATACAATCATCCTGGTGCAATGGTTCTTTGCCCCACTGGGAGCACCATGTAGAAAATGGCTTTCCCTTTTGCTTTTTTGCTGGAAATGTTCCACCTGTATCCCTTCAAGAACATGAACCTACCCCTCTATTAAAACCTGTGAGGACATTGGCTTGTGCTGTCATTCTATGGGTGCTTTCAAACGTTCATTTGTTGGTGACAACAGAAGTGTTGTTGTTGTTGTTACTATTATTATTATTATTATTATTATTATTATTATTATTATTATAACATTTCTATGCCAGAGATCAAACCATGCATACCGTGAACATCAAACAAAACCCTATTGTTTTTTAAGTAATATTTCAAGATCCTACATTCTTGATCTAGAAATGTCTATGGACCCAGGGCTACAATCAGGGAGGCAGGGAGGCCTTACCACTATAATTTCTAGAATCTGAGGGATAGCATTAAAATAATTTTTCATGCATTCAAACACTGGCAGGATAGCATTTCTGCTTTCTTATGTAATGCATGCATATAATGCATTTCTGCTTTCTTATGTAAATTTATTGCCACAAGTTGTGATCATCTCCAGCAATTTTGTGGTCTAGTCACATATCCCACCCGAAAAGTTAGGTTGGTGGGTACATGGAACAAGACCTTTTCTATAGCAACAGGCCAAGAATGAAATCTCCTGAAGAAGGCTAGATTGGCTCCATCCCTGCCAATTCTTAGCCACCACACTGCTTTGCTGAGGCTGTGGCAGATTTTAATATTTTTTAAGCTGTTTTATTACATTTCAGGGTAGATGGGGCTGGCTTGAGCTTTTATTCTGTTGTGATTTATGCATTGGTTTAAACTTTATGCCACTCTGTCCAGGTGGAGGGAGGAACAATTTACAAATGTGTTTAATAAATAATACATTTAATAATAGTTTTAAAAGAGGAGTAGACAAATTCTTGGAGGATAGATCAATCAATGGCTTAAGTCGAATGACCTAAACTTCCTCTGAACTTTCATCTTCAAAGGTGACGTATCACTGAATACTATTTGCTGACAAGTGGTTGCATAGGATGGCTATTATCTTCACACTTTTTGATGGATTTCCCAGAAGCATTTGGTTTGCCACTGTGGGAAACAGAAGCTGGACTATTTCTGGTTTAGCATGGTTCATGTTCTTCAGTGTCAGTGTGGTGTAATGGTTAGAGCATTGGCCTGAAACTCAGGAGATCCAGGTTCTAGTCCTATTCAGCCTTGAAGGTCACTGGGTGGCTTCAGGCCAGTCCCAGATTCAGCCTAATCTACCTCACAGGGTTGCTGTGTGGATAAAATGGAGAGGAAGACGCTAATGTAAGCTGCTTTGGGTTTCTTGGAGGTAAATGAGTGATATATAAATGTAATAACAGATAAAGCGCCACTTTTGACTGCTGGTTTGGGGCACTAATATACCCACCTTTTCTCAGCAGGGCCAGGGAGAAGGTTCTCCTCTTGCTCTTCTACAGAGAGGTTGTGGCTCTGCACTGGGCCACTTTCTTGTAGCTGAAAGCTCACTGCCTTGCCAGAAATAGGTAGTGGGCCATACCTAAAATAACAGACCCAAAGAACACAAAATATGAAAAATATCGCAATATAGTCAAAAAATGAGCTCTCCAGATGTTTTGGACTGGTTTCCACCAGCCCCCAGCCAGCATAGCTTGTTGCCAGAGATTATGGCAGCTGTAGTCTAGAACATCCAGATGGCATTTGGTTATGAGCTTTGCAATATACATTTCAGATTTTATGATACCTTGAAGGAGAGGGGAGATCAAAAGGAAATTTACATGTGAAAAGACCATACTTGAAAAGGGGCTCCTCCGATTATCTTGCTGTACAGGCAGCTTGACATTGGAGGAGGCACATTCCAAGCACTTTGAATTGGGCTCAGTAGCAAATAGGTGCCAATCTAGCCAGATGAAGCCCCCTGGACTACTTGCAGCCCTGGTTACCACCATCCTCAGTTTCCACCATCACCAAATTTCTGTAATGTAAAAAAGGCAGATTTTTCACCCATATACAAGGTATGGTAAGGTTACTTCTTGCTTTAAGGAAAATCTGTGCTCCATGCTCCCAGGTGCATAATTTTGCACTAAAGCAAAGTGAATGCTCCTTATGTATCTTGTTTAAATGTGCAAGGGCAACCTTTTGCCACCACATTCCTGAAACACAGCAGCAATGGATCAGCAGTAAGTTATTCTAGACCATGATACAGAATAGGGGGGCACACATTGCCAACCCCAGATCCAAAACTAAGGGAGAAAGTTGCACACCTGAGAGTTGGATAGAGAGGAGAGGAGAGGGAACCCATGACAAAATGGAGGAAGAGGAGGAGAACAGCTCTGTCCAGCATTATTCACTCGTCTGGAGCAATCTGTAAAAAAGGAGAAATCAGGCTTCGTTGGAGTGGCAAAGGCAGCTTCATGTGCTGTATATGAGACACATTCACCATGGAGATGGTGCTTGTTTTCAAACTTCTGCTAAGTCAAGTGAATCTTAGTCCCATCCATTAAGTTTAGACTGAGTGAGCCACAGGGCAGTTGCTGGGCATAGTATCTTCCAGCCTAGCATGTGAATAAGAAAAAAGGGGTTAAAAATCAAAACTTCATTTTGACTTGCCCAAATAAGATTCACTAATGGAGATCTATTTCAGAAACAGATGAATACAAGTCAATCTGTCTACAAAGTGTGATGTACTGCTTGATTCCAGCTATTCCATCCCCACACTTTCTTTCTCTCTCCAGCTTTATCCAGAAACCACTGAGCACCCTCAGTCCTCTCTAAACAGCGAGGCGGAGAAGGGTCCCTCTAAGGTATTTTCTGCTTCTGTGCACCTTGAGATCTTTACAAGACTGCTGATACCTTTTCTGTATGGCTGATGCTGTTCTGGCTAAATAAACAACAGCACTCGCCACATCAGAAATAGAGGGATTAACTGCAGAAACAAACTGTTGACTTCTTCCTTTATTGTTGGAAATCTGCAGGATCTCAGTTTGCTGTGATAGAACTGCCATCACTTTAACTGAACTAGCTATTGCTAGAGGAAAGGAAAAGATAGCCAGGAGATGCCATTTCCTAGATAACAATCTACAAGTGTGGAAGAGATTCCCTTGAGGAGTACTGAGTTGTGCAACCCTTTATAATCTTCCAAGGGATATAACATTTGGACATTTCAGGATCATCTGATTGAATGTTTCATACTTATGCCTTATTTAAGAGTTCATAATTCACAGCTCATCAGTTGTCCTGGGAATGCTTTGAAAGGACTTCATTCTTTTGCACCTGTGCAGCTGAGGTGGTTGTGGGCAGGATCTGTGCCCAGCATCCCATGAAATCTGTTCTGATTTTTCTAAAAAGCAGGCTGGAAGTCTGGTGAACCACCCAGAAAGCCTTATTTATTCATTCATTGCTAGTGGAGGAAACAAAAAATAGATGATAACAATAATAATTTCTCTGATGGGAGCCAAGTTTTGATCCACACAGCCTGATGTTTCAAAAGATAACAAGAGGATTTAAAAAGTTTCCCCACTGCACAGGGTTTAGTTGACAGCCCATGGGAAATGCATAAGTAGGACATGAGTTTAATAGCATCCTCCTGCTCAAGTTCCCCAGCAACTGGTGTGCATGAGGAATGCTGTCCCGATACTAGAGGCAGCCTTCAGGGCCAGTAGCTACTGATAGGTTCACACACCATGAATTTGTTCCTATTAGGTGTGCACAAATTTGCACAGTTATTGCCATGCCTCTCAGATAAAGTCTGCTGTCCTCAACATATTATTTGGAAGACGATTTACAGAAAAGCAGTGCCGTATAATGGTTAGTGTTGGACTTGGGAGATATGGGTTCTAGTCCCCACTCAGCCATGAAGCTCACTGTATGGCTTTGGGCCAGTCACAGACCCTCAGCCTAACCTACCTTATACTGGCAACACAAGAACATTTCATGTCCCATATAGCTGCCTAAGCATGAAATAAATTCCAAAAATGCAGCTGTGTTAGCAAAAAAAGGTGATTGCCATAGGACTGTTTTTTGTACAAATTTCACAAACACACAACTGGATAAAATTTGGCTCGCTCACTGTGTGCCTTTTGTCACTAGTGGCAGGCATATCTGTGCCTTCCCCACTTACAATAGCCAATTTTGTTTAAATGTCTACTCACTTTCTACAGTTGAATAAATCTCAATAAAATGGCAGAGGCAGGTTTATCTATTTTTATTTTTGCTTTAAAGAGAAGAATTCATATCCACATTAAGTATCTGGGCTAGTAAAAGTCCAAATTACTATTGCAAGTCTGTTGAAATAGTATCTTAATATTATATATGCGCTATGTGCACTCTCGAGTTCAATTATGAATATTTAACTTTGTAATTTATAGCCCAATCCTATAGCTATTTACTAAAAATTATCTTTTGCTGACTTCACTGCAAATTATTCCCATGGAAATGTTCATAATAATATAATCTTAATGCATAAGGTGTTTACCAGGCAGGGGAAACTAATTGATTACCCCACTTTTCCATTAGAAATTACCCTATTTTTCCACCTATCCAGTAAAAATAAAATAATGATAATGATAGATAAATATCATGTACTCACCAACTTACAGTTCGCTTCAGGAACAGTGCCCTCTGGAAGGCAGCAAAATCTTTATCTTCTTTCTTGTAAATGTTCTTGCCTCTTGCCCTAGGGAATGGAGAAAAGTTGAACCAGTATTTGCAAACTAGAGTAGCTGGTATCTTGCTCTTATGGGCATTGCTGCCCCTTCTTTTATACCTTCCTCCCTCATCAAGCATTCAGCTGCTGAACGTCAGACTAGAATGACCTTCTAGTCATTCAGTCATTCAAAAATCTGTGTTCCACCTCCCAGCTTTCCAAGTGAGTGTACAGGCAGGTGGGGAACCAGCTGAAGGTGACTGGCATGTGAACCCTCATTCTCATCAATGGATAGAAGAAAGGCCAATTTTGCTTATCTGTAAATTTTCCATTTTTTTAGGACAGCCATTTTTAACATGAAAGCTGACAATGAGGAGTTAATCATTAATCTTACCTCCTTCCTCTTTTGTAAAGCATTCTCTCTTTCTTCAATAACATGTTCCTCACAACTAGCAGCACCTGTTGCCCCTACCTGCAGAGTAAGCTGCACATTTCATGTTTCAGTCCTTTGCAAAAACTGGCAGTCAGATGTCAAGCAAATAAAGCATCTAAGATAGATCTTAGACTCATGAAATGGGAAGGGACCTCTAAAGGTCTTTTAGTTTAACCCTCTGCCAATGCACGAAATCCACCATTACAGATGACCAACCATCCTCGATTCTTAAACACTGAATGATACAGAGGAAAGTTCACTACTTACCGGAAGAGGCTGTTCCAGTGTGAAACGGTCTGTTCCAGTAAGGAATCCATGTTTAATAAAGCAATCTCCTTTCTTATAATTTGAGCCTGTTTAGTCCTGGCTCATCCACTGACTCATCTCCTGAACCCATTTCTTCTATCAATAGCCATAGCAATCCCAATTTTTTATATGATTAATGCTTTTGAGCTTTTATGCAACCTCCTTCCAAAAAACTCATGAAACTGTAAAGTCTGTCACCTACTTCCTGCCTCTCTCTGAGGCCAGCATATGGGTTGCTACTTTTCAAAAGGTTCATAAAATACATTGGCTACAAGCTAATTTCTACTGACAAAGGACATTTAATTTCTTCTGCATGATTTCCAAAGTTTGGTGGGATCTACTGTCCAGATCAATATAGAAAACTCGGACAAATACCTTCCCAGCAGATTCATTAGAAGCGCCTTTCCAGTTCACACCCAACATGCCAGCTGACACGACAATTGCATCCAAAGTCAGAAAAATCAGCAGGGCATTAATTTAATGGAGAACGTGAGAGAAACTGAAATCCATTATTCTATCTGCAGTGATAGCTTGGATTTCCCATTAAATTACATCAATGCCAAATGGCTAGTGTTAAAGCAACTTAGATCATCGTGATCCAGGCTATCACACACAACTCTTCTTGATATTATAATAGGTGTGCATTTGTGATATTTTATTTACTAAGTTTATTAATTTTTTAGTGTTGTTCTTTGCCACAAATTTTTTTCATGCACTGGACTGGAACTATAAATAAATTAAGCCAACAAAGAGTCTTGTCAGACCTTAAATACTGATGAACACGATATGGCATAAACTTTCATGGATTAGAGCCCATGTAGATGAAAAAAACAATCCAAGGTGCATCTTCTAAAACATTATACTAATGAAGAAATGTAAGCCCACCAGATGTCAGTGTTTAACAGTACTTTAGATATTCCAGTTAAATTCTTCTGCATTCATTCCTCTGGGATGAGTTCTACAGTTCAGCCTGCTGAAAATCAGTTCACATTTTTTTACGATTCACATGCAATGTAATAGAAAAGAAATTGCTTTTGAGGGAAAAAAAATAAAAGAAAATGTAATTTGGAGAAATTTTCATGGGTTGGGTTCTTCCTGTGCCTAGTTCATTTATGAGGTGGCTTGAGGAATGTATATAAGTGTCCTGCTTTCACTGTACAATCATATCTCTGTACCTGCATCAGAGACAAGATGTATCCAACAATCAACAATCTGAAAATTATTCATTTGGAAGATCTAGGGGAAGTTATTGAATCCTAAAAAGGACAACTAGAACCAAATCCTAAAAAGGACAACTAGAACCAAAACAAAATTTCTCAGAAGACACTATCATCAGAAAATTTACAGAAGTGCCCAAGAGGAAATTGATAACACATTGAACCAATACATGCTCTTCATCACAAGTGACTGGAAAGCAAAAGTAAGAATCCAGTGTTGTTGCAGAATTTGGCCTAGGGGTCAGAAACAAAGCAAGAGAACAACTCGGAATTCTTGAAGCCAAGCATCTTTTATTGCAAACACGTAATTCAAGCAACTGATCAGGTAACTGTACATACAATGGCCAGTACAGAAATCAAATAGACTACATAATTGGAAGTGGAAGATGGAGAACATATTGTTGCTGCCTGCATACACTAGTTGCTGAGGAACTTGGGACAGGGTCCTCCTGCTTAAGCGATCTATCCTCCAGGTTTGAAATTGGCTTTGTTAATAGCTCCACATGTATAAATTGCATTTTAAAAATTCAGATTGCTGTATGTTGGGAAAATTCAGATAAAAACTAATAGAAAAATGTTGCTTATATGTGCCTTAGTGTTATAAAAACAAACCTGCAGCACCCCTGCCTCCCTCACTCAGAAAGAACCAGAATTCCAAGTCAGGCTTCTGTGAGCTGATCCTTTAAGAGACTGGAACTCTCAGCTCACTTGAGAGCAGCTGCTACATTTGCCAAAGGGGGGCCGGGGGGGGGGAGGAGTCCCCAAGGAAAGTTAACCCCTGTCTATTCTTGTGCTAACAGCAACAAAACTGATAAGATGGCCAGTCAGGTTTTCCCAGCAGTATTGCAATCACCCTAATTTACCTGATCAAACCCGCAGCCAAGACTGACAATAATCCCTGCCTTCCTGATTGACATGACAATCTCCTTTAATCAACAAGTATTGAGTCCCCTCTGCAGATCTCTCACATTCTTTTGACTGTGTTCCCATTATTTCCTCATCATTTGCCGTGCTGCTGTGCATCTGACTCAGAACCTATAAAACACTCTGTGTATGTTCTAACAGTTTGTAGTTGGCTGTGATGAACACTACTGGGTAGCATGCTATAAGTACGTAACTGCAGGCGGCCTGGGTGATCTCACCAATAAACCACTGGGGTTCGAAGTGATTCAATCTTCCCTACAGACCTGAGTGTTCATTCCCATTTATTTTTGAGACTCTGACATAGAATATCTGGCCAAACACAGAAAATATGGAGGAAACTTTCAAGGTTTCTCTTCAGGTAAGGTACTGTACAAGGTGGAGTTGAATAGAGAAAGTGTGACCTCACCATCTAGTCAGATTTTCTTTCATTTGTGTAATTTTTTTTTAATCCTTTGTTTAGCCTAATTAAGGTATTATGGCAACATTTATTTTGGAATGAATATTATGGATACTATGAAAGCACACTATAGAAATGGTTTTAGGGTGCAACTCTAGGCATGTTTAGGAAGGAAGAAGTCCTACAACCCTGTGATAGAACTTTTGCCTAGAATTGTCAACTTGGGTTCAAGAGGCAAGAAAGCAGGATATAAATGTATAATGAGTGTAATGTGATGGTTCGAGTGTTGGACTGTGTACCTGGACAATCCCAATTCTAATATTCACTCAGCCATAAAGGTGTGGGTGACTTTGGGCCAGTCACTCACTGAGGCTAACCTACCTCACCGAATTATTTGTTGTTGTTGAGGCTAAAATGATCATATGTAGGCTGCCCTGGGTTGCTCACCAAAGAAAAAGGCGGGCTGTAAATGCAATACAAGAATAATTTTTTCTCGCAAGGCGCCCAAAGCGGCTGTATGTATGGGTTCCCCTGCTTTCAAAGGCAATCGCATCTACGACTTCCAAGAGGTTCGCAGCATGCATCTTTTCATGGTGAGGGAAAGGTCCAAAGGCTGCAATCCCCCAGGATGCAGGGAGAAGCAAGCAGGGAAGCCACCGCGCCCTTGCCCTGAGAGGCCGGGCTCACGCGGAAGGCGACCCACGGCAAGCACGCAAGGCGCGGCCTCGCGAGCGACGCGCAGCACCGGACGGCCGCTGGGAGGGGGCTGGGGAGGAGGAAGCGCTTCCGGGCGCATCAGAAGCGCTTCCGGGGAACGCGGGCGGCTTGGTCCGAGGTGAGCGGTGTGTTGGGGCGGGGAGAGTGGCGGGCGCGGGGAGCAGCGTCGCGCCTTCCTTCGCTGTCCGGAAACATCTTCTGGGCAGCAGTAGATGGGAAAGGCTCGCCCAGCCGTGTACTGAGCGGGGAAAGCGATTCTTTTCCGCTGCTTTCTGTGTGGATCGCGGTGCAAGAGTGCAGGGGGAAAAAGCCTTCTTTACCTTGTCCCGGTCAAAGATAGCTTTCATGTTCATTCTTATCTCTCCTTCCTTCCTTCCTCTTCGCTTTCTTCTGTATAATGTGTTGTGCCCTTTCGCAGAGGGCTGAGAGAAAGAAGGTAGGTCAGGGAATCTTAATTTGGGGTGGTGCGGGGTGGGGGGTGAATGTAGGATTATTATTTTTAAGTAGTCTCTGCAAATAGAGGGTGGGAGTGAACATAGAAGTTCACGGAGAAGTATGTGCAAGACACAAACGGAGCAATCCTACGTATGTTTAGACATGCCTAAACGTGTGTCCCTCCCCGCCAAAAAACCCCATAAAATTTTATGGCAAGGCCTCCACATATTGGTCTGAACCACAGTCAACATGACAATGGTTAGGGTAGAGCTGCAGATCAAAATATGTGGAGGGCCATAAGTGCCCGTCCCTGCATGTAAATAGAAGTTATCGTGTTAGAGTGTTAACAAATTTACATGCAAGTTTTCTCCTCTCCTTTTGTAGTTTTGTACAGTAAATCAATGCATTAGAATGCCTCCTTCCCCCAACCAATTGCCCATCCTGCAACTTGGAGTTCAACTTGCATCTGTCCCAGCCAGAGTAGTCAATGATCAGGAATGCTGGGAGTTGTAGGCCAAAACCAGAGGAAGGGAATAAGTTGCTTCATCCTGCCTGTCCATCCACTTTAACAGGATTTTTCACTTGAAGTTTGGTTAGCAAATAGATCCAGTGCTTGAAGTAGTTGGGAAGCCATCCCACTTCTCAAGCTAGGAGAAAAGTAGATGTTGGCTATATTAAATAAATACATGTAAATAAATGAATTCTTCTTGAATTTCTTTGATTTTTATAAAGGATTTACACTTCACCACCCATCCCATACAAACACCATCATATCACAGATTACATCTCTCTGTGGCCTGAAACATTTAAAAAGGCAAATCAAGTAGACCTAACAAACTAATTAGTTGTTGTCTGTAGTAAGTTTTATTTTATGCTGGCGTTTCATCATTTTTAGAATCCTTTCTGCCTCTTTGCCTTGTGTGTTTACTGCTGTTATTGCCACATCCGTTTTTAAATGTATTTTATTGCACTCTACCTTGGGAGGACTCCTACCCTGAAAGGCAGAAATATTTTTAATAATCACCATTCTGGAATCTGGTTAGATATGGAACAGTATGCCAAGACAGTAAATAATAAATAACAATAACCAGTAGGAGCAAGCAGTGAAAGAACAGGTACTAACGAGTATTTTTCCTGCCTGTGGTACACAGCAGACTCCACTGGATATTGCTGCTGCTTCTTATTACTATTATTATTATTTTCATTCGTATGCCATCATGTAGCCAAAGTTCTCTGGGCAGTTTACAACAGTGCTCAAAACAGTAAAGAAACAAAACAAATATCAAAAAAACAAAACAACATAAATTTAAAATTAATTTGAAATCGCTAAAAATCATACAGTAAAAAAAGCCCTGCAAAGGAGAAGAATCACATGAATAATCTCAGGCCTCTGGGTAACCAAGTAGATCTTTAAAGGCCTCCGCATAAAGTGATAACCTGTCACCAAAAAGATAGGAAGTTTGGCACTATTTTGAGAAATTGTTCCAAAGATGAGGGCACCAGAAAGGAGGCTGTCCCCCTTCTTACCACTCTCTGAACCTCCCATGAGGTTGGCAGTTGGAGGAAAGCTCCAGAGGTTGAGCAGAGCATCCAAGCAGATCATGGTTGTGAGAGGCACTCTGACAGGTATTGTAGTCACAAGCTTTGTAAGGCTAAAACATGCACTTTGAATTGGGGATGGAAGCATACAGACAGCCAATGCAGGTGAATCAGAACTGGTCTTAGATGTTCAGACCTATGTGTCCCAGTTATTAATCTGGCTGCCATATTCTGCATGAGCTGCAGTTTCTGAACTGACTTCAAGGGCAGCCTCACATAGAGGGCACTTCAGTAATGTAACTTAGAGATAGCATAGGATTGCAGCATAGGTTAATATTGCTTTTCTGACTAAAGGCAGACATGACCTGCTTTCCTTTCCACACACTGGTTGTATTACTGTTATTTTATTGTTTATTTAATTTCTATACCACCTGTAGCCAAAGCTGTCACGGCAGTTTACAGTGAAGTATATGTGCAAGGGCACAGTCTGAACAGGACTTTTGTGTTTCTAGGGTGGAACTTGAATTGGAATGAGGCAGGATAGTTACACAGTTGAGGAGAAGGCACAAACCACAACACTTGAAAGAAATGTATGTTCCTTTATAGTATTATTACTCATACATTTGTGTAACATTTCAGTTAGCTGATTAGTAGGCACAACAGTTTAAGAATGTATGAAAAAATGATTTAGATCAACCTTTTTCTTAATAAAGTAACACTGATTTAATTCAGTCCACCTTGCAAAACATGCAACTGTGTACACTAAAACCCTAGACCTATAGTATTTATGCCACCTATTTTCAACCTGTCCATAGGTCAGCAGAGAATGTGATACACTTCAACATCAATTTAGTGTGCCCAATTATACAGTGGATTGTTTCCTATGGGTTAGACCCACTGAGTGTGGCCAGAGAGCCTGAGTGCCGAGGAGTAACATGGGTTTGATAAAGTTCATTCTGCCCCTTTTCCTTAACAAGAGCATGGGCATGTGAGCGAACAACACAAGAAGCATTGTGCATGGAGTTAGAGCTCACTTAGAATATGACAGGGGTGTCTATTACATTTCTACCCACTTTTTATTTCCTGCAAGAAATCCATTGCTTACAACACGAATGGGTAAAAGGTAGATCTGGATATTTTGGACTTCAGCTCTTCTGCCCACCTCAGCCAACAATGCCCATGTGCTGCTTCAATGCACAACCATGTTCTCTTATTTGGTGGGGGCAGGTGCAGGAAAGGGAAGGATAGGAAAATAGAATTGAGCCCAGTGGGGTTCTTTTGCTCATGGATGTTGCACTCAGATTCAACTGCATTTGAGACTTTTACATGAGCAAATATAGCCCATTTACAAGCATTGCACTTGTGTAAGAGCAAATGAATAAAGAACTAGCTTTTCTTGCAAAGTTGACTTAGGCTCAATTTCCTTATCTGTTCACTGTGAAGTGTCATATGAGAACCATTTCCAGACTGCACAATTCAACCCAAGTTTTTCTTTGAAAAATTCTCAATTAAGCAGTACAAAATTAACAAACAATAGCACATTATGGTGAGACAAACTACAGATGGAAGAAATGATCCTCTTTCCTTGTGGTTATTACTGCCACATGGTTAGTTTTTAAATATTCTGCACTCTGCAGATGTTCACATGAAACCACTGTGAAATCAGTGATGCCAACCAGCTGGCCTGTTCTTTGGTAATGCAATTCTTGTGTTTTGTATTCCATCATGCTTCTCAATAATAGCTCGTGTCAGCTTGTATATTTCAAGGTTTGGGGGCTGCAAGAGGCATATTTGTTGCTTGGCTTCTAAACCTGAGAACATCATACCCTGAACAGAAGATTATATCCCACCTTGCCATTACCAGAGAAATTAGGGTATTTCTCATTTATCTATATTCATATTGATGTACCATCCCATTCCTATAGGCTCTGGGCAGTTTGCAAGACATTAAGCCAAGAATGACTAATATTGACTAATACAATATATTAAATAAAACTGAACTAATCTGAGAAGACCTGCAGGAAGAAATAAATTTTAAACTCCCCCTTAAAGGTGGGAATTTGGGAAATCAGACGTATCTTTCATAGCAGGCCATTTCACAGCTTAGGAACAACCACTGAAAAAATTCTCTGGGTAGTTGACATTAATCTTACAGAAGCAGACTTCAGAAGATTATCCCCAGAGGAACTTAGCTGGTGAGGGGGGAAACTATGGGCAAAGTTGCTCCTGAAGGTATTTTGTACCCAAGCCATGAAGGACTGTAAAGGTAATTACCAATACCTTGTACTGTACCCAGAAACTTATTTCTCATCAAATAAGTCAGGGCTTCATAAGTGCTTTCCTTCTGAGGGACAAAGTCCTTTTCAGAGAAGCTTGTGGGGGATGCATTCCATAACCAGGTGAGGCTGAATACAAAACCCCCCAGCAGGTTATTGCTTAGAGCAATTACTTCCTAAAATAACTGAGCCTTAGGGGAGGCATTTCAGGGTGGTAGAATGGGGAAAACGCCAAGAAACCACCCAGCAGTCATCTAAACCAACAGAGTAAATCCTCTAGGCAGGAAGGTTTATATCCTTGATCCTTCACCAGTTATATCTTTGAAGTGCCAGGACTCCCTGAAAGGCTGCACAAGTTGTCCTGGATAGATGGACAAATTCATGTGGAGCAGGGGATAGTCTTTTAGCTATCTTTGTTCTGAACCATTTGAGGTGCAATCCTGTGCGTGTTTGGTCAGGAAAAAATGTCGTAACAACTCCCAGAATACTGGCTGGGTCATGCTGTGTGTTGTACAACTTTTTTTGTTAAAACATGCATAGGATTGTAGCCTTAGGGCTTTAGAGGAGATAGCTACCATGTCTAATTGCTCCCGTAAATAAACTGGTAGCCAGGGAAGTTGATAGTTGAGTAACATACTCCCAGTATCTGAAACTAGTGATAACTTTTGCAGGGACAGTCTGTGCCAGCTGAAATATCTAAATATCAGGACTTTATGAGAAATTTATATTACAACAGAAGTGTTATTCTCATTGCAGAAATAAATTTATAGCATCTGAAATTGTTGGAGATACAGCTGGGGATTTCTGCCATGGCTGCTGAGCTGGACTTCTCACCCCCTGAAATTCCAGAGCCTACGTTCATGGAGAAAGTCTTGCACTATGGCCTCTTCTTTGGTGCCATTTTCCAGCTCATTTGTATATTGGCCATAATCCTTCCAATTCCCAAGACGCATAAAATGGTAAGCAGTTTTTAAGCATATGCTTTTAATGGTAAGCATATTTATTAACAGAAATAGAGGAGTTTCTAGTGATGTTGATGCTGAGGGGCTTGAGGAATAGGCCTGGTAAATCAGATAAATCTTTAGCATCCGATATGGCCTTCCCATTATTTCAGAGGAGCTCATATGGCAGAGGCCATGGCAGTAGCCAGGACTGTGTGTGTGTGTGTGTGTTCTGTGGATTTATAGGTTTATCCAACAAAGCATTTGGGTTTGGCATCCTAACAATCTCAGTTTCTCTCTTAAAGTTGAAAGAGAGTGGGGATACAGTGCCTGACACCAACAAACTCTTCAGCCTTTCAGAAACAGCTGTGTCTGAGATCCTGTGGCTCTGGAATTGCACACACATGATATTCCACTACATATCTTGACTTATGGAGGAAATGGGTTGTACTAGAGCTTATTTGGGCATGTTATGGCAAAGGAGGAGAATACTGAAGCAACCAACAACTTCCAGTTTGTTTTTTGTTTGCATAATTTTTGTGGCACAGTAAAAAATACTTTACACCTTTGCAGTGCTGAGCCGCTTGTGTATATCAAGTGATAATGTCAGTTAAATTCATTTCAGTTCCAGGTTGTAGCCCAATGAAATGTGGAAAAGTTGGGGGGGGGGGAATACTTTTGCAAGGCCTTGTACTTTTTTCAGCCATAGAACCATACATGTTTCTTCACAACTCTTTAGGGGAATTGAACATGCCAAAGTCAAACTGAGCGTGATCAAAGCGGCATCCTCTTCTTTCTCTTTCACCACTTTTTCCTTTTCCCTTTCTCTCTCTCTCAAAAGTTTTCCTTTCTCTCACACAAGGCTTATTTTCACTGAATGACAGGTGTATCTGCCATCAGCTTTCTTTTCCTGTGTTGATACAATCTTTACTAGAGCCTTCTCACACCCCCGTTCCATTTAGGAATAGGTTGCCCATTTCTCCATGCACAGATAGGAATGCAAGTGGAAAAGGAAGCAACCTCTTTCATGTCCTGGCAAGCTGAATGAAGCTCACAGGCCAGAGTTTCCAGTCACTGTTTTAGGGCATGTTTGTAACTGCCATATGCAGTACTGGAGGAGAGAAGGGGTAATCAGAATGGGTGAGGTTTTAGTACTTGGCAAGCTGCTGTTAGACAGAATTTTCAGATACAAATTTGCCATGCCTAGGCAATTCCTGGGTATTCAGCAACTTCATCTCTTTGCCAAGCCGTTGTGTAACAAAGTGCCACAGACTGGAAATCCATTTCCCACACTGGCATTGTACTCCTAGTGTGACTGAAGCCACAGCTGGAACTGTTTCCTGGCTCAAAAGGCATGCTAAAGGTAAGGAGCCTATGAGCCATCATCTTTTCTCTTTAGATCGTGCTCCTATTTCCCAATATAAAAGTTGTTCCCAGAATGATGTAAGCCTTCACATGGATGTTTGTTAGGGAGCCAGAAACAGTTAAGAATTTGCTGAGTAGAAAGCTTTACATGCTTTACTATATAGTTGCTAAATGAGCAGAGTGCAGTGACTCAAAACATGAAGTGGTTGGTCTAAAAATAAAATGAAAAGTTGTGGAACAGTGTCAAATAGGCTTCTGAATAAGATACATTTTAAAAGTCTAGAGGAAAGAAACATGAGTAAACAAAACAAGAAATCTCATCTTACAAAAAACAAGATTAGTTGTAGACTAGAATGATCCAACACAGTAAGTTGGATCACTAAGACTTGCACAGTTTCTCCTTAAATTAGAAATAGTATATATTCCTGCATTCATCATTAACACTGCATTTTTGGTGGTGATGGTATTCTGGAGTGGTCAACTTTGATTGGCTCAGAAGCGACTAAACATTCTTTGGTCTGTTTATACATAAAACAGCAAAATAAAGATTCAGACCTTGAATATGAAGTTACTCTAACTGACCTAGACTAAATTTGTAGGTTTGCTGTACACTTGCAATTCTGTCTATAACCACCAACAATCTTTGCCTAAAATTAGAGATTAAGGCCCCTTTTCCAGGCTGATTGTTAATTTTATCTCATTTACTGATGATCTTGGCAAACCTAATCTTTTCTGCCTGGTTCTTGGAGTTTCAGAAGCAGAGATCTAACATTGACTTAGCTTACAGTTTGGGTAATAGATCAGTATACCAGCTGTGGAGCTTGCATGTGATAACATCAAAAACTGTTTTTATGAAGGTGAACTAAAAATCAGCTCTTCAGTATCTGGCTGACACTTTGGCTTAGATTTGACTCCATCTTAAGTCCGAGGCAGCAACTGGAGAACCTGTGGACCTCTGAATGTTGTTGGACTACAACTCCTGCCCATTGACTGGGGCTGATAGAGACTGTTACCCAATAACAACTGAAGGGCAATAGTTTCTGCAATACTGTCCTTACAGCAAATCAATATGAAAATTTCTAATGCAGCTATCATCAAAACAGCTTAGAAGTGGCTTCTACACAAGAATCACCCCTTTCATAATTATCAGCCACCCTTCATGCTCCCAAATTCCACATTCATCATGTTTAGCTAAGTAGTGGACCACCTGATTGAATAATAGCATGCATCTTATAGGCCAGTTAATTATATAATGGCACCAGAAGATCTTTACTCAGGTAGCAAAATCCCTATGGATTGGTCTGAAAGAAGTCAACATGCTTTTCTTCCAGTATTAATACTAATTATCGTGAGATTACCAGTTGGATCAGGGATAGATAACTTGTTTAATGTGGGGGAAAGCACTTGAAAATTTTGCCATTTGAATTGTAAAACCATGAGGGCTAGAATTATTTTTTAACATAACAAGAGTCAATGGACTGCACAGTAGAGCCTTGGAATGGCTCTGGAGCCTACTGATTTTCCTTAGAATGGTCCTGTACTTGAATGGAGGCCAGGAGCCTCTGCCTTTAAAGTGTAATGTTGCAGTATGAGCAATACTGAGCTACTGTGCTTCCTAGATGACTCTGCAGAGGGCTCCTGTTAACTGTGTTACTCATGGAGGAGGAAACAATTACTTGGGAAGTGTGAGAAGCTTGTATTCCACAGCATTTCAGCTTGGTGTAATGGCCAATTGGACACAATAACTTTTTTCCTTTTATATGACAGGCAACACTGCTCTGGCTGCTAGACTGTGTCTAGATGACCGTAGGGTTTTTCTGATCCCCAGCTACAAGGTTGCACTCGGATCCCTTTCCCCCTGCTTTCAACTAGCACAAAAAGAACCATGCTGCCTGCTCCTTCAAGGTCATAGCAGCATCCTCAAAAAAGAAATTTTGGAAGCGTTCTGGAGGTCAGGATAGGGAGGAGATTGGTACTGGCAAGGTATGATGTACCCTGACTACACCTCAGCCTCCTTCACTCCCATTCCAAAGTGCTGTCCTTAAGATGGCTGAGATCAGCTGTGAGAGGCATGCAGAGGTGACCTATGGAATCCTGCTGTGCATAGGAAAATCCTCCAAGTTCAGGGGTTTACAGATATTGCCATAGGATCACCCTCTCATGTAAGTAAAAGGAATGTTGATAAACTGCATTAACTTCTATGCATACACTTTAGGGACCAGACATGGCTGTGGCTACTTGTCAAAGGTCTCTCACAGCACAATCCAATGTGTATTCACTTGGAAATAAACTGAGCTGTACTCAGTAGTATTGTATTCTTCATGAGAATGTAGTGAATTCCATAGGTATGGTTGCCCTTCCTATTGCTTTAATAAACCATTCTTCCTTACAATGACCACTGTATAGAAAAATCAAGCCACTTGATAGAGAATTGTATTGCAATATATATTCCGGGGTAAAGCAGCCGTATCACCTTTGGGCATATATTTTCTGTTTCTGTTTTAAAACTTATTGTAATCTATAAGCCACCAAGAAAGCCCAGATATTCCTTATTTGATGTAGAAACTCTACCTGCCCCGGTCTGTTTCCTATTCCAAGCAATCTCCGTGTATGCGGAGGAATCCATCTCTGAAGACTTTCCATGGATTAGAAAGTAGCAGTGAATCCCTTGCTGTAGCAGTGAACTTTTGATTCCTGAATAAAAGCATACTGCTTCCTTTCTCCAGAGAGCTGACACTCTTTTGGTCAGCTTCCTATGAGTGAATCACATCCTTTGGGAAGGAAGCCAACTCTCCTTTCTTGGAAGCCTGCATGAGCATGAATTGCAATAGCCCTGTAACAAGAGAGAGTCAAGCCAGTCTCACTGATGATAATGTCAACTATTCTCTCCCCACCCACCTATTTTTATTGGCACTGCTTAGAAGCTTGAAACTGGCATGAATCTCTCTGCCATTTTTTGTGCATGGCCTTTTCCAGTTGGCACACGTGAATTTTGAGAATCTCTAGACGCCTAAAAAAGTATTTATGCCAAAATTTGTTTAATGAGGATAAGCAATCTGTGTGTGTGGCTTTTTCCAAGAGCCTGGTTTTGCTCTCATACATATGTGGGATTCTTCTTCCTTTTTATTTTTAAACAAGATGATGAGACTTTGATTCCCATGGAATAAATGCTTTCTGTAATCATCTCTCTCAGATGATAGTGAAACAGTGGCCCAATGGGAAAGAAAATGTATATTCATCAAGTTATCCAGGATGAAAAATTAGAATGGAGTGGTGATCTATTAATGCCAGAGGAATTTATCTGAAATGATTCTCTTGAGTTTACTTTCCAAATTAAAAGTTAATTTCAGTCCAGTTGCTTTTGTAGCCTGAGCAGCAAGCTTTTCTGAAGTACCTATTCACTAAAACTTTCATGGAGTCACACCCTAAGGATGGACTTTCATATTCACTTACCATTTTGACTTTTCCTCCTCCCTAGATATACTGTATACAGATACGGCTTCCAGAGACTCATTTCAAGTCAAACACATACAGCTGTCATGTTTTTCCAATAAAAATTCCTGTGGCATCTTAAAGATTCACAAGTTTATTAAAGCATAAACTTTTTGGTAGAGTTTTTGCTACAAAAAGTTTTCTGCCCTTGAAGACCCCTTATGAATGTGCTTCTATGTAAGTAATGATGAAAGAGCAAAAATAAAGGATTGGAGCCACACTGAGTTAGGTCAACTTTGGCTGTACTTATTTTCCATCAAAACCAGTTGCATTGGAGCTAAGTCATGATTAATTTGCCCCATTAGTTCACTGAGAAGTTCAGCTACCTAAGGGCTCGATCTTATGTATGTTTAAACAGAAAAAAAAAATCCCACAATTCTCAGCTGGCTGGCGAATGCTGAGAGTTGCAGGACCTATTTCTTCCATCTAAGCAAACATAGGGTTGCACCTTCATTTTAGATTCAATTTACAGATTTTTTTGATGTCTTAGAGGCATGTGAATCCACCATACCTGACATACCATTTTAACTAAAGTTCACCTGCTGTCAGCCCCTACTTTCCTGCACCTTTTCTCTGTTCCTTTTGTTTCCCTATTTACTTTGTCTATTTGGAATGACCTCCACTTCTGGCTTTTACGGTATCTCCTCAAATTCCCACCTCAGAGCCCTTCGCTTTAGCATGGCCACATAATTTGTTAGCTGCTGGCTGTTAGTCCTCAGCCAACGCTTCCCTATCCTCACTGTTTCTGTCCTTTCCCCCCATCTTTTCCCTACTTATTCAGGGAATAATATTTCCCTACTTAAACAGATCTAAAGTAGGTAGTACCCCTATTCTGAAAATGTCTACATTGTATGAATGACACTAATCGTGTGGAAGCTAGATACGAGTCTAGACAGCCGTAGGAGAGGGCAGAGCCTCAGCTCGAACCATGGAAACATGCTTGATAAGAGATGGGACTCTGACCTCAGATGCTCTCCCTTGCACTTGGAATTGAACGAACAGTGCCAGCTGAAGATCTGACACTGGAAGAGCTGGAGGCTTGTGGTCACTGTGGGAGGAAGTGGGGAGGTGCTGCCACAACACATAGTGTCCTGGAAGTGCCTTGTCATGGTTTAGGGCAAAAGGCAGCCAACGTCTCTTTTAGGGGGGAAGAGTGGGCAGGTGGCCCCTACCTCTGTGCTCCTTCCCCCTCTATAATCCTTAAAGTCTATAATCCTCTGAGTTGGAGGACTGATTGAATAGCCAAGCTTGAATCCAACACACACTTTCTTAGACGTTAGACTCAGTGCTTGGTGTGTGACTCACTTCCAAGTAAATAATGTACCAGCTTGGTTTATGTAAGCATTTTGTTACTTTTCCTACCTGAGTAATGCAAATTTAAAGCACAGAGTGGCTGAAATGTACATTTGTTTTTCGAATAGCTTTCAGACAACAAATTGTAGATTTAGAGCCATAAACAACTTTAGAGCCATAAACAACTCAGAGTATCCAATTTCAAATGTCACAATAACAACCTACCAGTGGGGTCTTTGTGGGATGCTTATGAAATCTGGAAGTGGCTCACACTCAGTGCATGTCCCCACAAATTGTGCATTAACTTATACTTTGCCATCATGATGTGTAAGCCAGGCACATCAGTTGCTTTATTAATTCTTCTGTGGGTCCCTAAAAGCAAAGAAATTTCTATGTCTAATATATTAATTTTCATATGTATATTGTTGTATTAAAGTTTGTACCTTTGTTTTTCTTTCTGGCTATTTTGTTGTAGTTTGGATTTATAATTGCAAACCATTCCAATGGCATTTGCCAGATGGGCAGTGCACAAATCTAATAAATGAATAATAAATACTATTTTTTGCTACCCTCCCCTTTTGAACATATGTGCAAAATCACCATTGATATTTTCCCCCTTCACAAACTATTGATAGGATACTGAAAGCTTTGAGATGAAGACTGCAGAAGTAATAAAGAAACCCAAAACTGTTGCTGCATCAGTGAGCAAGAAGCCTAAGAAAGAAACCAAGAAGAAACGGTAAAACAGCTTCATGGCAGAAATGATCGAGGCAGTTTCTGGAACCATCAAGCTTTGTTGAAGACAACCAGGGTGAAAAACAACAGACTTAGGATCAAGCTGTGCTTGAGGAAGTACTAAAATGACTTGAGGGTGATTGTTTCATCTGCTCCGTTGTAAATACCTGTAAGGCTCACTGAATTTCTCCACTTAGGATGAAAAATTTAGCAGTTACCAGAGTGGACAGAGAATAGGTCACCTCCTTTGTATCTTTAAGATGTGAAACGCAACTCCCATGAAAGAGGACTGGACCATAAGTGTGGCTCCACAAAATGCTTTTTCCCCTGTGGTATTGCATGGTTACACACTACAGCTTCTTATTTTGTAAGTTTTTTAATGTGCCTAATAAGCCTCTTTTTATAACCCAGTTGTTTTCATTTGTTTTGTTGTTTAAAGGGCTCATCATTCTTGCATTTGGCTTTCCTTGAATAAGCTTAACTGTCATCCTCTGCCGCAGCTTTCCCCAAGCTGGTTCACTGCTACAAATCCTATCATCCCAGTCACCATGGCCAGTGGTGATCCAACAAGTCTGGGAAAGTCTGCCCTATTGTTTATGCAAAATTACATAAGTAACAATTATTTTCTATGTTTTGAAATGTATTTCATAGTTGTTCTTATTCAAGTACCATGTGGGCTAAGTGAACATTAATTCATACTCAGTGAACATTAAAATTATTTGCTTGCATACAAATGAATCCCACAGTAAGGGCAACAATGCAACCCTATACCTTTGTCTAATTACCATGATTCCATCTTACTCAATCACATGGCCTCCATTGCTCTCTCTGATAGTGAATTCAGGTACTAAGTTACAGTGGCCAAAGCCACATACAAGTCAGATTATCATCATGTTTTGGGGGTGGGGACCCCAAGGTTTGCAGAAGTAGAAAATTCCTTTATAACCCCCCCCTGCCAAAGAAGCCATCCCACCCCCAGTAAATTAGCCATATGAGGAGAGCACGGTCTGACACTGCGCCGCACTGCAGCATTTCCCACATGTTTTTCTGAATATGTGATCATGAACCACTTTTGCTAGCCTCCCCTGTCTAGGAACAGGAGCTGCTTTATGCATCGTCTTCTTTAGAGTCTCATGTGACAGGTGACATTTAATTTATCATATTTATACACTGTTTCATGTTCTCAAAAACCCATGTCATAGCTAAGAAAGGTAAGATGTCTATCAATTTAACGCTGGAGTCAGCATTCCAGAGAGCCTGGGAGGATTGATACCTGCTGTTAAATTGACATCATTCCAAGGTGCCACTGAGATGGACTGAGAGAAGCAACCTTCACATTTTTGGCCCCGTTGTTTTTTCCCCAGTAACGTGCTAAAAAAGTATGGTGAGCCTTCTGTATCTATTACCCCTTTGACCATTTCATTCTTGTACTATTCTATAAGATGCTGGGAATCCAGTTAAGGGGTAATTGCAGGTAAAGCATCCAGTTAATAGATTGCTGTTGCAATGCTTCCTCCCTGCCCCAGCTCTCCCCCAGTATTGGCCTTTCTGAACTCAGTGGGAACATGCTTGACGTTTCTTAAAGTTTGTTACTGTGCTTTCAGACCTTCCTGTACTCTCTATTCCATAATGTTTAGACTGAATTCCAGCCCAGCGAGAATGAATCACCTACACGTGTAATAAATGTAAACTGCCAAAGGTTCCCCACTGCACATTATAGAGGACAGTCATCTGTAATGGGTCAGTGGCCTTCTGGTATGCTTAATAGTCCACTGCAGCAGCTTCAGGTGAATAACACCCCTTGTTGCAGTTCCTAAGTCAGTGCTGGAGGCAGGTTTAGCAGGTTCTTCATTATTAAACGGAGTCGTATCACACATTGGATCTCAAGAGCTCTCTCTGCTTGTGTGGCTTAGAAGAACTGCAACATACTTTTGGATATTCTGCCTACTGGTAGTCTACAGCCTGAGTACCATAACACTGATAGGACAGAGAGCCTGTCTGTCTGAAATGACATATTTTCCCCATTGACTCCTTAGTTTCATTGCCCTTCAAAGTTTTCATGGCACTTTAGAAACTAAGCATAATATATTTAGGAATCCAGCCCATGTAGAAGATGCTCGTATACGCAGTAGAGCTCTGTTTCTCCCTGCAAATGGAACAGAAATTGCCTTATGGAAATGCATAAATATTAGATCTCTGAAATTGTCCATATTTTTTTGTATATGTGTATTATAAAACATGTAAAGCAATGGGCTCTTTGGTTGGAATGGGAAGGTCTGTTCATGCCATGTGTGTCCTCTGCAAATACCCCATCTCCCAAGCAAGGTTAAGTTGTATCCCCGTGAGGAGATATATGCCCATACAGATCTCCAAAGTCCTCCTATTGCTGTGCCTGCAGCCTTGCACAGGCAGATGGGGCAGTGGAAAGGAAAAGGATTCTGTCAAACCTGTGGCATTCCTGAGAATTCATTTGCTGTGTATACAGTGGGCTGTTTACACCCAGAGTATTTCACCTTGGACACTCATAATTTTCCTTGAACTTCTTCAGATATCACATGTTATAGTTGATGAGCAGCAGTGTATCATTTTCAATAAAATAACTGATAAGTATTAAATACAACAGGGCTAGGGAAATAAAATTGATCTCACCGGATCTTTGTTTGGCCCCTGTCTAAAAAGAGATTGTGCTTAGATGTCCTTCATCAGAAGTTTGCAAGCTTTTCTAGGTAAACTGCAGGGCTGGATGAAGTTACCTGAGGGTGAGGAACAGACAGGCCTCCTGTGCTTAGAGCTACTCTTGCCTTAATCATGAATGATCTCCCGATAAGTATTCTTGTCTTGTATTTCTGTTTCAACAAGAACAATGGCTAATAAAATGCACAAAGTATCAAAATGAATTCCTTAGCTAGGATCCAGTAAAGATAGCTCCTGCATTTGGCTTTATGGCCTGTTTGTTGCAGAGTCACCCATCCTTCCCCACCTTGACAGCCAATGTAGTGTAGTGGGCAGCTTGTTGGACTGAGGCTTGGGAGACCCAGGTTTTATTCCCCACTCAGCCACAATGCACACTAGATGACTTTGGACCAGTTGCTAACCTACCTCACAGGGTTGTTGTGAGGATAAGAATGGAGAGGAAGAGCACTGTGTGAGTCATCTTGCATTCCTTGCAAGAGGAAAAAGGGTGGGGTACATATATTTACCAAAAGAGTCCATCACCATGACCTTTGGCCATGCTGACTGGGAATGAAGGGAACTGTAGTCCAACAAGCACATCAAGTTGGAGCAGTTTGTTTAAACTTGTGGAAATACTACGTTCTTCTCCCCAAGTGTTCCTTACCCACCCTCCCACCTTGCCAAGAAGAGAAACAAATAATAGCAAGACTAAATTGGCTTTATTTCACAGGGGATGATTCTGGTCTGAGAGGAGGGAGAAATCATTAAAATGCTCCTTGACAGTGTTGTTGTGCTCTTGCATTTTTCCCTACTCATTTTCAGTAGGCCTAATTTGGAAGTTCCCATCGGACATTGCCCCAGATTCCTGCTGCAAATTTTCTCCTGGATTCATGATGCAAATGTTTAAAGTTAATCGGAAAATAATCATTGTTATTTGCAATGGTGCATCACTGTAAATCCCCCCCTTCGTTATGATTCCACTGTATTTGTTGTCCTTTTGAGTGAAAGTGATTAGGTTAACAATGCATCTTTTATATAATTCCTGTACTGGTGGCACAGCCCCTCTGAGGCCCAGTAATAACTAGCTTGTGACCAAAAAAATCCTGGTAGACACAGTTCATTTAAATCCTTATTAATCTTTCTCAGACCTCATTTACTTGTATGCCAGTGTGCTCCCATTTTATCTACAGTGGATGCGCTCAAGCAGAGAGCTGTGCAAGGAAGAGAAACGCAGACATGTGCCCTCTTCCATTTCTTCTCCCTGCCCTGGAAATAGTTTGGGGCCAATTCTCTGCTGGCTGCTTTGCGCCTAATGAGGCAAATTTCTGGAGCTGTGAATGAGCATGAGATAAGGACGTCCTACTGGGATAGACATGGTTCTAATGTAGGGGATGGGCAGGTAGTGCCATTTCATTCATCCATCAATTTATTGGATTTATATCCCACACTATCCACAAAAACTCTGACCATGCATGCAGATCTTTAAAACTGACAGTGGGAAATGAGGGTATTGCTAGGCCAGGGCACATGGCGTCTTGGCCCCAAATATTTCAGAATATCATAGAGTTCTTGCTGTCTACTGGTTCCTGATAATTTTTATTTTTTTAATTGCCAGTTTCAAGGGGAATTTAAGCTGTGAAGGGAAGGCGAAGTCTTCCCACATGCTTTGGGTGAGAAATTAATGGGCTGACTGTCTCAGTGTGGGATGTAAATAAAGGTAAATAAATCATAATTAATTCAACTTTGAATATATAGATATATGTGGAGATATGTGTCTCATGGGCCCTGGACCCTAAGCATCAAGCCCTAATGCCTAGCAACACCCTTGTTAGGAAGCAAGGTGCACCAGAGAAGAACCCCGATGGGGCACTTTTATCCCCAAGCTGCCATTTTGGGTTAGGGGTCAGGTAATGTGGAGACTTTCCTAGAATGGGCAGGGGAAGAGAGGTACATTTCAAAGACAAATATATTTAAAACTAAATTGCAAATCAACAGTGGATTTTTATTTAGAGGTGAATCAAGTGTTCAGCTGTAAGCACCACGCTTTTGAGGGAACAAAATGTCCCCCCCCCCCCAACAACAGCACTTTTCACAGTTTCCCTGTTTCCCTGGGTTGCCATTGCTACTTCAGGCATCAATTTTTCCTGTTATGTCTTCCCTCAGTATCCCTAGCCAATCAGGGATCACTTTAGGCAGTTGACATTGCAGAAGTCAAACCAAGCCAAATTAGAGTGAGTCCTGGATAAGTTACATGTGTGATCCTAATCAGCCAGGAAGTATTGCCTCTCTTTTCAGTCCACCAAAGTAGACAGTCTTGCAAGCAATGAAACAAGTGAAGAATTGTACCCAAGGATCTGTTCAGCTAGGCCTTATGAACACATCTATCCTATGGTCTCTGCAATTTTATTCTAGTTTAACTGTCACAGCTTTCACTCAAGAATTCTGACAATTTATTTACAGGGGATGCTGCAAATTCTGAGATCCTTAGCTGTTGTTCCCAGGTGCTAAAGTTTCTAAGGTTTGCTTCTGAGTGGGGATGACTGTTAAACCCTGTCTTAATTCCTTCAGCATTGAGTACATACAGAATTCAGCTGAAATCTGAACTTGAAAGATTTTGTGAACGCAGATCATAGTATGCAGCCTGGGAGCAACAGGGAACAATGCTCTTTTGGCTAATTCATCACCAGTATTTCTGGTAATCATTTGGGTGTTTCCTTAGTCATAGCACTTGCTCATAAGATCATAAGAAAAGCCATGCTGGATCAAACTAAAGGTCTGTCTAGTCCAGCATTCCATAAACATGGTGGAAAACCAGCTGCCCACAGGATCCCTCAGGCAGGATGGATGCAAAGCACCTGCCTGCCCATGCTCCTCAGCACCTTGTGTATGCAGGCGTGTCACCTCTGACAAGGTAGGTAGCACACAGAGATCAGAGCCAGTAGCCACTGATAGCATCCTCCATCACGAATCTGCCCAATGCCATCCTTCCAATTTGGTGGCCATCACCACTACCTGTCCCAGTGAAATCCATAGTTTAACTGCAGTGTGTGTGAAGAAATACCTTCTTTTATCTGTCCTAAACCTCCCGCCAATAAGCTTCATGGGATGACCCTGGGTTCAAGTGTTATGGCAGAGGGAGAAAAATGTCTCCCCCTACACGAAAAAGTGTTCACTGAGAATGGTGTACTGGGCATTCCACATATGCAGACAAACGCTCAGTGTCATCATGGACCAAAGAAGGCAAATACAAGCATCTCCTTCTGTTTGGTCAGTCCTAAGATGCTACGTATTCTCGGTCCTTTTACAATCTGAAGGATAACCCTGCCCCACCTTTGCAATTGCCTTACCAACTGACAGGCATGTACCCAAACTGGCTCTTAACACCTGTAGACTGGCCAGTGGCCAATTGAAGTAGCCCGCCTCTTATTCCTTGTTCTTCTGCCAACCTGGCTCTCTGGGAAAGCAAGAATGGGAAAGAGGCTGACAATGTAGAATATGCTCCTCCCTAAGTAAATCATTCCACCAAGGTGAGACAAGGACACTGCAAGAAAAGATGAAGAAAGCGTACGTGCTCTAGAAAGAGTCTTTTCAGCAAGGCTGCCATCCTTAGCTGGTTAATTGGTGAGGCAAAATTTAATTGAATAGAAAGGTGTTTCAGATTACCTTTTACAAGAAATGTGTGTGCTTATTTTTAATACACATAGTGACAAAAACTGGACTGTGCAGGTACCATCCTGCTTTAGAAAAGGAATTTGCTCTGTTCTCTCCCACCTAGGAAAATTCCTTCTTTAAAATGGGGATCAATGGGGACAGGTATAAAATGGGGACAGGTATACATCCTCTGAAACAGAATAGACTCTTCTGCAAAACTGCTGTTGATTCACATGCATTCATACGCACACATTGAATTGCTCAGTTAAAGTCAAATTAATAATGGACATTTTATTTACTAGCCCCAGTCCCTGCAGATTATCCATCCAAATACATGGAGGAAAAGTCACTCAGTGGCTGCTAGTCAGCATGGCTATATGCAACCCACAGACTGAGAGGCAGTATGCTACTGGGTTCCTTTTGCTGTTGCCTCCATGCCCTGCCTGTAGGCTTCCTAAAGTTTAGCCTTGGACGCCCACTACTGGGAACAGGAGGCTGGGCTACATGGACCTCTCGTCTGACCCAGCAGGGCTCTTATGTTCTTAACAGCATTAAATCTCCAGGACCATAAAAGCCAGCAGCCTCATTACAATCACCCTGCATCAGCCTTCTCCAACTTGGTCCCCAGCACAGGTGGAAGCAGGGGGTGATGGGAACGCCAAAGCCAAAGCATGTGGAAGGTACCTGTTTGAAGAATGTCTCCTATTGCTGCTGTTCTGAGTGAGGGGAGAAAGAAGAGACTGTTGGATATATGAAAACTTAATGTAACAGACCAAACGGAAGAGGTACAGAATAGTGTAGGTAGGAAGAAGGAGAGCGGCATGGCAGTTTTTTTATAGTCAGGTCTGACTTACATTTACTAACGCTGCCTTTCAGCCACGCATTCATGGGACTTTCTCTCCCATAAATCAGACGTGTGCTTGGGAATACATATTCTTACAGCTGCACCAGCTGATGCAGGCTGCATACACAGTAATTGCCCCTTCAAGCTGCCACTACTTCATTCTGAACTATTGACTCATCTAGGAAATATCCTCACAAGAACAGGCCCAACCCCTGTGTGGTTTGTGGATGTCAATATTACCTGAATCTAAAGCACAAACTTCCTTTTGGCACCATCCTATAAATGAACATTTTACAAATAACAGTGCAATTCCATATGTATCTATTGAACAGGTAAGTCCCATTGACTTTGGCTAGGGTTATTCATGGGTATGTGAGTAGAGGATTGCAGCATTACAGTTTGTTACAATGCTTTTTGTACAGTTATTGGTAGTTCTGCTGGAGCACAGTCAATGACAACATGAGCTCTGAGGTCAAATGTCACTC